GAGGAGTGGGCAAGCTATCTTAGAGGGGTGTTGAGAGGTATGATTAGCTAAAGGTGACATAATAGTCAACTAGAAACTTTTTTCTTTCTAAGAGGGAGGAGGCTGATATCTGGGTCTTAGTTGGCACATCAGGATGGAATTCAGGGAGAGCTGTCCCCTTTCCATATACAGCACGAACTTTGGGGTCTGGTCTGTTCTCCCCCTATGGCATCTCTCTGTTCTGTTTGCATGTCCTTGTTTTTCCTTTTTTCAGCCTAACAATTATAATTTCAGTATTGATAATGTTATATAGTAGGAGATTTTAGCTTCTCCCATAAAGATTTTATAATGTGTAATCTGTATTATGCTAAAGAATCTCCATAGTTTCATAAATTCCTTTGAGTAGATTTTAATATTTATGTTACATCCGTTCACGTATTGTTAGACATTGTTCCTGCTTTTAAAGTTACTTTAAGTTACTCTTAGGAATGTTGCTAGAAATTGTTTTTACATGTGTATTTTTCATTTCATTTTACAAATTTTGTATCAAGTAATGACTTCTTTGTAAAGATGTTCCTAGAAAAATTGGTTGTCTTAACACATTTTTTCAAACTTAAGGTAATGAAAAAACCCAAGTACAGGTTTTGCACTTTAAAAGTGGAATTACTTTTATTTCTTGATTTTTGGGCTGAGAATATGTGTACTTTGATTTTGACTTAAGTTTATAGGTTTCCTTATTGAAGGAATGGAATGCACACATGTCTGGTCTGCAGTCATCATCTTACCCCATTTGCATGGCAATTTGTTATAAAGAGAATACTCTCTGCCTTATATTTAACATGTTGTTGTTTAAAGATTCTTTTCTTTCAGTCACTTCTGGGAACTAGGATACTGATATAGTTGCCTCTAAATTGTTCCTCTGTGTCCTTTCTTACTGATGAAAATGGCTTAACAGTTGGAGATCATTTAGTAATAGATAACCCATAACACTTTGTCCTTTTGTCTTTTTTTTTAATATTGAAATAGGACATTTTTAACATTGGCTCAGAATGTGTAGTTTCATTTACACCTAATGAGGGTATGTCTGACAACCATTTATTGTCTTGTTCATTGGGTCATTCTTTTGAACAGACTTGGTGAAAACTACGGACTAAACTAAAATTTTGAAGGACACGTTTAGAGAAGACTAAGTTGTAAAGACTATATTTAGAGCATTGGTTCATTTACTCCATGTCAACTTTAGTCCCCAGTTGTTTTCGTGCTTTGTCTTTAAGTCCTTGAAGTAGTGTCACTTTGAGCATGCTGTTATTTCTGTCATCTCTTTAAGTTTCAGTAGAGCAGTATCCAAATTGATCTTTTTCTTCCACTGATTCTTGGCTGTTGGTACCACAAAATACTTTTTGTATACACAAGCTATCCTTTAAAATCTTGCTATTCAAGTTGTGGTCCTGGTTCAGTAGCATTGGTATCCCTTGGGAGCACATGAGACATGCAGACTCTTAGGCCCAGTGAATCTGCATTTGTACCTTAACATGATTCCCAGATGGTTCATATGCATATTAAAAAACTAACAATGCCATCCCCAGATTTCCAAGCTGTGTCCTGCTGTTCAAGGCAAGGATGCCCTTGATTCTGTATCCCTCTGGGGACATTGTTCCCCCCGCAACACACCACTTGGGCTGCCACCCACTGTCACCATAACCATTTATAATATGGCTTCGAGGTGGCGAACAAAAACTTTGCAGCCAGTTTGGCCAGTGTTTGAATCCCAGCACTGTTACTTCCTAGCTGAGTGATGTAAGTTCCCTCATCTTTAAAGTGAGGAAAATAGTAGTATGTTGACAAGTAGGAGAGTTGAGAAGGTCAAATACAGTAAGAAGAACGCGTGGCACACAGTTTCCGCTACTGTCATTCTCCTTTTTATTATCCTTAACTGTATTCAGTTATCTGTTGCAGCATAACGAACCATCCCAGGAATTTGCAGCTTAAAGATAATTATTTTATTATTCATATCTCATGATTTTGTGGATCAGGAATGTAGGCAGGGCACAAACTGGGTAATTCTTCTGCTCCATGTGGCATGCCCTGAGGTCACTTGATGATTTTTCATTGCTATTTTAATTGCTATTTTTTTGCATTGTTTTTTAATTGCTATTTTAATCATTGAGTTGTAAGAGTTCTTTATATATTCTGGATGTAAATCTTCTCAGATATGTGATTTGGAAATATTTTCTTCCCTTCTGTGGATTGTCTTTGCACTTTCTTACATATCTTTTTTTTTGTATGCATTTTTTTTTGTTTTTTTTTTAAATTTTGTTATCATTAATCTACAATTACATGAAGAACATTATGTTTACTGGGCTCTCCCCTATCCCAAGTCCCCCCCCCACAAACCCCATTACAGTCACTGTCCATCAGCATAGTAAGATGTTGTAGAATCACTACTTGTTTTCTCTGTTGCAAAGCCCTCCCCTTTCCCCCACCCCCCACATTATACATGCTAATCATATTACCTCCTTTCTTCTTCCCTGCCCTTATCCCTCCCTACCCTCCCATTCTCCCCAGTCTCTTTCCCTTTGGTAACTGTTAGTCCATTCTTGGGTTCTGTGATTCTGCTGCTGTTTTGTTCTTTCAGTTTTTCTTTTGTTCTTATACTCCACAGATGAGTGAAATCATTTGGTATTTGTCTTTCTCCACTTGGTGTATTTCACTGAGCATAATACCCTCCAGCTCCATCCATGTTGTTGCAAATGGTAGGATTTGTTTTCTTCTTATGGCTGAATAATACTCCATTGTGTATATGTACCACCGCTTCTTTATCCATTCATCTACTGATGGACACTTAGGTTGCTTCCATTTCTTGGCTATTGTAAATAGTGCTGTGATAAACATAGGGGTGCATCTGTCTTTTTCAAACTCGAGTGCTGCATCCTGAGGGTAAATTCCTAGAAGTGGAATTCCTGGGTCAAATGGTAAGTCTATTTTGAGCATTTTGAGGGACCTCTGTATTGCAAACATTTGTTGTTGTTTGTCTTTTGGATGGTGGTGATCCTTACTGGTGTGAGGTGATACCTCATTGTGGTTTTAATTTGCATTTCCCTGATAACTAGCAGTGTGGAGCATCTTTTCATGTGTCTGTTGGCCATCTGAATTTCTTCTTTGGAGAACTGTCTGTTCAGCTTCTCTGCCCATTTTTTAATTGGATTATTTGCTTTTTGTTTGTTGAGGTGTGTGAGCTCTTTATATATTTTGGATGTCAAGCCTTTATCGGATCTGTCATTTACGAATATATTCTCCCATACTGTAGGGTACCTTTTTGTTCTATTGATGGTGTCCTTTGGAGTACAGAAGCTTTTCAGCTTGATATAGTCCCACTTGTTCATTTTTGCTTTTGTTTCCCTTGCCTGGGGAGGCATGTTCATGAAGTAGTCACTCATGTTTATGTCTGAGAGATTTTTGCCTATGTTTTTTTCTAAGAGTTTTAAGGTTTCATGACTTAGATTCAGATCTTTGATCCATTTTGAATTTACTTTTGTGTGTGGGATTAGACAATGATCCAGTTTCATTCTCTTACATGTAGCTGTCTTACATATCTTTTGAATCACCAACGCTTTTCAGTTTGAGGAAGTCTGATTTAGGGGAGTCCAGTTTTTCTTTTTTCATTTTGTTGTATGTCCTTCTGGTGTCATATAAAACTTTGCCTAACCCAAGCTGTTGTAGCTTTATTCCATTGTTTTCTTCTGAAAATTTTATAGTTTTTACTGTTACTTTTAGGTCTGTGTTCCATTTGGAATGAATTTGTGTGCATAGTGTAAGGAAGGGGCACCAGTTACTTTTTAGCTGCTAATTTAATAAACTCTTTTAAATCCCCCCTTGCTTATCCTGTGTGGCTTGAGGAACTGTTGTTCACTCACCATAAAAATTGTCTGCCTTTGACTTCTGAGACTACTTCTCATCTTGTCTCATTGTTCTTTCCTTCTTGTTCATAATTTATTTCAAAAGATTTGTATTTACATACTTGACTCTCTGTTGGGAACCCTTCTGGCTGCTTTTTCTGCTCCCTCTTCCCAGTTACATTCTCTGCTGGCTGGTTTCCTCTCCACTCCTGGCCTGAACAACCATCTGTGTTCTGGTGACTTCCAAAATCAAGACCTCTGCTTTTCTCAGTGATTTGTCTCCCCTGCTAGAAAGTGAAGACAACGTCTGATTAATTTTTGTTTATGACTGGACATAACAGATGCTTAGTAAATACCGCATATATATTGTTAAAACTTCATTCAGTGTTTTATAGAAACAATAGAAGTTGGAACTATTTGTTTGATCAGTAAAGATGCTATTTAGAAATGTAGTAGTTTAAGTTGAATGTAATTTAGTGTGTTTGAACATCCTTTCAAGTAAGAGGGGGATTAGAAAGAATGTGAAGTAAAAAGCCATAGTAGCAGACTTTTACATTTGAGCCACTTGGGCATATTTTTGGGTTATTCATGAACCAGGGCCTGTTGACATTTTCTGTAGCTGCTGCTGTTCTCTGAGCCAAAAAAGGCGAGGTTGGCATTTCCCATTTGTGTGAGTGCAGATGTGTGAGCACCTTCTGTCCTAGTGATATGTCTGGGTGACCCTTTGCAGAATCACTGCTGATGCTCCTCTGGAAGAACCGAATTTCTCTAGACGTGAACTGAGCTGCTCTTAGCAGATCCCGTGTGTGTGGTCAGAACTACTTCGTGGTCGAGATTTTAATATCTAGTTCTTTTTCAGTTTGTCAGAGGACACAATAACTTTGTTAGTTCTGTCTGTGGCAGAACAATGGCAAGGACAAAAAATACCACTGGTCAGTGGAAGGCTGGGAAACCGCTGCTCAGTCACGTGTCAAGGCCACAGTAGCGCCTTCCACTCATGGCTCTGTCTGGTCAGTCAGAGCATCCTCATGCTGAAGAGTGTACATAGCAGGCTGACATGCTCATCATGAAATGCTGTTGGACACTGATTCAAAAACAAGACTTTCTTTTGTTTTGATTCTCTAGGAACCTAGAAAGATTCTGCAATGAATGGTGGTACTCAGGCCGCAGTGGTGACCTCACCACCCCCGACCACAGCCCCTCACAAAGAGAGGTACTTTGACAGGGTGGATGAGAACAACCCAGAATATTTGCGAGAGAGGAACATGGCACCAGACCTTCGCCAGGACTTCAATATGATGGAGCAAAAAAAGAGGGTGTCCATGATTCTGCAAAGTCCTGTAAGAGCTTTTTTTCTGCATGACTGTCATCTTCCTGCCTCCAGTACCTCAGCTCTTATGCTCTGTTGTATGTGTGGTTGCCAGTGTATTTTAACAGAGGCCATCAGTGCCTTGTATATACATATATGACTGTTGAAAGAATCCAGTGTAGTTCAAGTTATTATACAAAATAAATGAAAAATCTTCAGTATCATAAAGGAAGGAAGGTGCCTTTTTCTCCTTTTTAACTCTTTCACTGCTTCTGCAGAGAGTTCTTTATATATGCGACCATTTAGAAATAGTGTTTCCTCCAGAAAACTTAGCTTGGTGCCGGGTACTTAGCAGGCCTTATAAACAGAATGAACAGCACCTAATAGCTCCCGCCAGCGTTTTGGACCACAGTCATGCCCAACTAAATGTCTTCTGCTTGCACCTTTAGGCAGACTGGGGCTGACCCTTTGGTTTCCTCCTGCTAATGTGCTGCCCTGTGTGCACTTCATGCTTTGTTTCCATCTAATCTTTTCTTGTCATAGTTTGTTAGTATTTTTGGATGTCATTTAGCAGATATTCCTTGAAATTGTTTCTTCAAGCTGATTGTCTCTCTTGTGCTGTAGGAACTGGGGATTTAGCAGTGGAAAAGACATACAACCCCTCTTTTGTAGGTTTTACTGGTTTGGTTGGTTGTCATTATTCACATATCACTGAGGTAGAAATTACAGTAAACTACATAAATCTAAAGTGCACAGTTGGATGAATTCTGACATATGTATAACTCATGTAAGCACCCAGATCTAGTCTCAGGCTTTACGTGCTAGGTAAAGGGGATAAACAGTGAGCAGCAAACAGACATGCAGTGCAGGAAGCAGGAGGATGGCTCAGGTGAGGTTGTCTGGTTAGAACAGGTCCCTCTGGTGGGGAGGCTTTAATCCAGACTCTGAATGATGATAAGGAGCCGACAATGCGGGGATCAGGGGAGAAGCTCCATGACATTCCAGGGGCAGGGTGAGCTGGGTGGGCTTGGAGAGTCACAGAGCAGCAGTGTGGTTTGAGCAAGGCCACAGGGAGAGAGTGCAGTGTGGTGGGAGGGATGGGGAGCAGGTCCTGGAAGCTGTGTAAGCTCAGATCAGAAGTTTGTTTTGCTTTTGGAGGACAATAGAGAGTCATTGGAGGGCTGCGGACAGGAATGACACGATTCCGTTTCTACAGAACTCATTCTTGGTTTTATGTAGAGAGCATCATGTGGGGCAAAAGGGAAAACAGTCTTCCAAATGAGGTGATGTGGCTTGGGCAGAGTGGGGGAGGTTGAGGTGGAGAGGGAGACTCACTGGAGTTTCATTTTGAAGGCAGGATGAATAGGACTTGCTGGTGTGGTGGGTGGTGAGGAGGTGAGAAAAAAAGAGGACAACAGCCAGATTTCTGGTTTGTGCAGTTTTCCTACATAAAAGCAACAAGAACCTAAGTAAAATCACTAAAGATGGAGTAAAGATACAAAACAGCGCACCTGTGTGCCAGGCACTGTGCTGGCCCATGGGGATGCCATGATGTGGGACATCCCGACCCATGTACAGTAACCATGAGATGCTGTGACCTGAGCACACTGTGGGATCCCGGAGGAGGGGACTTGAGGGCACAGACTGGTAAAGCCTGGACTGTGCTGGTTCCTTGCTTTCAGGAGGTGGCTGGACCACAGTGAGGAGTGGGAAGGCTCACCCTGTGGGCACAGGTGCTGGAAGCTGGGTGGGCATAAGAGGAGCTTGTCAAAGTTTCTGTAGGTAATGGTGTGTCTCAGTGAAAGGGCGAGTAGGGCTGTGGCTGAGCACAGGCATTGTGGGGGCTTGAGGAGAGACAGGTGTGAGGAGGGGGCAAGGGAGGGGCAGGGAAAGCCCAGATGGCTGCTGGGGTGGGACGAAGGGTGTGCTCAGATCAGCGGTTCTGGCTTGAGCAGTGAGGCAGTGCAGCGTGGTTCTCCTCCAGCCACGTCCCACAGTATGAGCAGGGGGGGTGAGGGTTGTATTTAAACAGGGTTGGGATTTTGCCAGATGAAATGGTAGAGTTGAAGGTGTAAGCAAGGGACTGATTATAATGTTAAACCAAGGGTCTCTACTGGATGAGGAAGGTCAGGACACAGGGTAGGTAAGGGAGGGTGAAAGATGTTAGGGTCCCTATAGCATTGAATAAAAGGTGAGTTGGCTTCTGGGAGGGCATGTTCAGAGAGCACGTTTGGCTTTGAGGTTAAAGAGGGGCACAGGTTCATGAGAACATGACTTTGGAAATGGGCGGCCGAAGTGAGTTGGGTGTCAGGGTCACTGGAGAGATGCAGTCAGGGAGCTGAGGTGAGGGTGTGGGTGTAGAGCCATCATGAGTCAGGACCAAGGAAGCACACAGAGTCAGTGGCTGGTGACTGCTGGCTAGAGCCAGACTCTGGGATCCCGACGGGTGGCTCCAGGCCCTCTGTGGTCACTGCTGAGCTCAGCTCCTTACTGCACATACAGGTCACCTGGAGCCATTGGTACAGAGGGTCCCCAGCACTGGGGCTTTTGCTTTTTGTGTGTGCCTTAATGAGTTTTAAGTTCCTTGATGGCAAGGGCCACCTTTTCTGTCCTCAGATCCTCAGTGCCTTGAATAGTGCCCAGGACTTGTATTGAAGTGCATATGTATGTTGGATTGCAGTGTAGTGTGTTCATGTAGTACATGTTGTAGTGTGTGTTGAATTGAGCTTTCCGTAGATAGTATGTGGTTTTGAAAATCACTGAAATAGATTATTTGATTTTTAGATTCAGAGCCCTGAGGGCAGGGAGATTGTCAATTCATCCTTTACATCTCCTGTGCCCAGCATGCACTGGGCTATCTGTGGGGTATTTCGCAGAGGTGTCTGTGTCTTTCTCTTTTTGTATCTGTGCATATCTATATCAGCACATTCTGCCCTGGCAACAGAGATGGCCAAATAACCATAGTTTGGTGACTTACTCCATTTCTTCTTGCAGTCAAAGCGCCTGTCAGCTCCTCCTCCTCCTCCTCCCCCTTGGCTGCCACGGAGCATGATCTGTGGCGTTATTTCCCGTGATGTGGTGGGTAGGGGCTCCACCAGGGGCTCTTGGTTCTTGACATTCTTTTATACCATTGAATTTAAAGCAATACATTGTTTTTCCCTTAAGTGACAGGTATACTTAAACTCCCTTGGCAGTGTATCTTTTCTGCTCAAGCCATGAGAAACTAGAAATAATATTAATGTAGAATCACCCAGAAGTCCTTGGAGTGCTTATAATCAGAGGTAGATAATCATTCAGTGAGTTCATATTTTCATATTAAATATTTTTATAATTATTTGATCAGAAGATACTAATTTTCTCATAGGATATATGAAAAGATTATTTTTATACAGTTTGGGAAACTATATTGTTTCAGTAATGACTTTATACTAAAATCATCGTCAACCAACTTAACCTTTCTGCCTAGTTTAGGATTACCTGGTAAAGGACGGATGTCTTAAGGTTCCTTTTTCAACTTTTAAAAAGTGAAAAAGAAACTTTTTTTGAAGAAAATACTGAGAAGTGCAAAGTAGACCATGAAGGTTAGCAGTGATTTTATCACGAAGAGAATTGACTGAATATTTTGGTATATGCCCGTTTAGTCTTTTTCTGTGTTCAGATTTGTATTTACTCTTACAAACCTGGCTATATTGTATAACCTTTTCATATTAAAAAAATACCAAGAGCAGTTTTACGTACTTTAACTTTTTTTGGCCATTCAGGTTGAATATGAGCATAGGCTCACATTGTAAGGTGGGTCATTGGATTTAATCAGTCTTCTACTGTTTAAATATAGACTGCTACCTATTTTCCCTCTTATCAGTAGTGCTGGAATGAACATCCTTAAGAATAAGTCTTTGAGCTTATCCCAGATTATTTATTCAGAAAAGATACCTAGAAGTAGAATGCCTGTTCAAGTTTTTAAGCTTTTGTATTGTTAAATTACTTTCCAGAAGGACTGTACCAATTTATGCTCCAAGCAGCAATGTATGAGAATATCCTTTTACTTTTCCAGCCACACAAAACATTGATCTGTGTGGTAGTTACTCCGCCTTCCCAAGGAACAGAAAATAGGTAGTGGCTCACTTTTTTAATTTGCCTTTTGTTAGGCTTTCTGTGAAGAATTGGAATCAATGATACAGGAACAGTTAAAGAAGGGGAAGAATCCCACAGGCCTGTTGGCATTACAGCAGATTGCAGATTTTATGACTGCAAATGCACCGAATGTCTATCCAGCAGCTCCACAAGGAGGGATGGCCGCCTTGAACATGAGTGAGTAGATCCCGTCTACTGTGTGTTCTGTCATTCTCCAGGTGAAATCTGACATTTCCTCATGTGAAATAGATGGGCTCACACTATAGAATACATAGAATCAGACTTTTTGAAAATTAATTTTTTTTTAGTTACAGTGAAAGATAGGCTGTAAGTCTGAAAATGTCTTAAATGTAGAGGGTTCCTTTTTTTATGAGCCAGTGAGACTGTTATTTCTTAGGCAGATGACTTTTTATGTGGCCTCTCAGGACCTTTGTGAACTAAAGTAAATTAATCAGAAATAATGCTTGTGGAGTATAGCACATGCGTGTTGCCTGAACACACTTCAGCCAACATTGTTTATCCGTTTCTCACTGATGCTTGAACATGAGGTAGGAACAGAGATTCCAGAAGAAAGCCCGAGGGAAAGCGTTGGCTGGGTGTATGTGAACACAGCACAGTCAGCAGGGGGGTGTGGAGAGGTGGATTGAGCTTCTGTTTACTTTTACTTAAAGTCCCTTAAGCCTTTTAAAACTACAACTTACCCCTCTGCTTCTCTTTTTTTCCTCCTTGCACTTTAAAGAAAATGGGTCTATTGACCTATAGAGTTAGCAAACTCTGTAGTCTGAATTGTGCTGATTCTATCTTCATAATCTTTGGTCTTCTGTATTTACAGTAAATTGGTAGTTGAATCTAGAGGCTTGATCATATTTGGATTCAGTTTTTTTGCAAGTCCTGCTTCCGAGGTGGTATTGTGTTCTCTCAGTAGGCACGTAAGTCTGGTTGTTTCTTTTTGTGTTGTTAGCAGCCATTGATGCTCAGTGCCTAGATCCATTAATTTAATAAGGGTTCCAAGAAGGTGATACCTTAATTCTGTCATTCCTTTCTCTGTATCTATTAGAATATATAAAGAGAAACTTCCGTAGGAAGCAGGGCGCAGCTGGAAAGGGGGCCATGTCTCCCATATCATTCAGTGTACAGCCCATGGAGAGCCTGGTGCTAAACCATTTGTAGACACCTTGCTTCTGGTTCAAGGTTTTATACATAGCAGAACAGCATCCTTACTGTGATCTATTGAAAGTCAGCCCTCACACATCGAAAAGAAACTTCCCCTCAACTCTTTCTGGTTACCTACTGGTACAGCTTGTATAGGAAGGGTAACCTTTTTAAAATAAGAAGTTGGTCTCCTGTCATCCTTCTGGAGTGACCAATCATTACTTTTTGGTATTATTTTGAACTCATAGACTTAAATGTATTTAGTGTGTTCCAGAGCATTGCAGTTATCCTTTTCAGTACGTAGCACTGTCCCATTGCTGAGTGGTAGGAACCTCTCCAAGCCGCCCCCTGAGCCTCGTTGTCTCTGACTGCTTCAGGCTGTCACGAGGAGGTGTTCTAAGCTCATCTGGCACATTTCCTGCACCCAATCTGGAACAAGCCTTTTCTCAAAGAAACCTTCATTTCTTTCTTTAATAATTTAACTTAATTTAATTATTTTATTTTGGTATCATTAATATAAAATAACATGAGCAACATTGTGGTTAATAGATTCCCCTCATCATCAAGTCCCCCTCACATAACCCTTTACAGTCACTGTCCATCAGCCTAGTAAGATGCTATAGAATCACTACTTGTCTTCTCTGTGCTATACTGCCTTCCCGGTGCCCCCCATGCCCATGTTATGGGGGCTAATCATAATGCCCCTTATTCAATACCCTTATCCCTCCCTTCCCACCCATCCTCCCCAGTCCCTTTCCCTTTGGTAACTGTTAGTCCATTCTTGGGTTCTGTGATTCTGCTGCTGTTTTGTTCCTTCAGTTTTGCTTTGTTCTCATACTCCACAGATGAGAGAAATCATTTGAAACTTTTCTTTCTCCGCCTGGCTTATTTTACTGAGCATAATCCCCTCTAGCTCCATCCATGTTGTTGCAAACAGTAGGATTTGTTTTCTTCTTATGGCTGAATAATATTCCATTGTGATATGTACCACCGCTTCTTTATCCATTCATCTACTGATGGACACTTAGGTTGCTTCCATATCTTGGCTATTGTAAATAGTGCTGCAGTAAGCATAGGGGTGCATATGTCTTTTTCAAACTGGGATCCTAGGGTAAATTCCTAGGAGTGGAATTCCTGGGTCAAATGGTATTTCTATTTTTAGTTTTTTGAGGAACCTCCATATTGCTTTCCACAATGGTTGAACTAATTTACATTCCCACCAGTGGTGTAGGAGGGTTCGCCTTTCTCCACATCCTTGCCAGCATTTGTTGCTCCTAGTCTTTGCTATGTTGGCCATCCTAACTGGTATGAGGTGATACCTCATTGTGGTTTTAATTTGCATTCCCTGATAATTAGCGATGTAGAGCATCTGTTCATGTGCCTCTTGGCCATCTGAAATTCTTCTTTGGAGAAGTGTCAGTTCAGATCCTCTGCCCATTTTTTAATTGGGTTATTTGTTTTTGGATGTTGAGGCATGTGAGTTCTTTATATATTTTGGATGTTAATCCCTTATCAGATAAGTTGTTTACAAATGTTCTTCCATACTGTAAGATGCCTTTTTGTTCTGCTGATGGTGTCCTTTGTTGTACAAAAGCTTTTTCATTTGATGTAGTCCCGTTTGTTCATTTTTGCTTTTGTTTTCCTTGCCTGAGGGGATGTGTTCAGGAAAGAGTTGCTCATGTTTGTATTCAAGATATTTTTGCCTATGTTTTCTTCTAAGAGTTTTATGGTTTAATGACTTACATTCTGGTCTCTGATCCAAGTTTACTTTTGTGTATGAAGTTAGCCAATAATCCAGTTTCATTCTCTTCCATGTAGCTGTCCAGTTTTCCCAACACTAGTCGTTGAAGAAGCTGTCATTTCCCCATTGTATGTCCATGGTCGTTTATCGTATATTAATTTGCCATATATGTGTGGGTTTATATCTGGGCTCTCTATTCTGTCCCATTGGTCTATGGGTCTGTTCTTGTGCCAGTACCAAATTGTCTTGATTACTGTGGATTTGTAGTAGAGCTTGAAGTTGAGGAGCATAATCCTCTAAGCTTTGTTCTTCCTTCTCAGTATTGCTTTGGCTATTCGGGGTCTTTTGTGGTTCCATATGAATTTTAATACTACCTGTTCTAGTTCATTGAAAAATGCTGTCGGTATTTTCATAGGGATTGCATTGAATGTGTATTTTGCTTTAGGAAGCATGGCCATTTTGACAATATTAATTCTTCCTATCCATGATCCCAGGATGTATTTCCATTTCTTGGTGTCTTCTTTAATTTCTCTCGAGTGTCTTACAGTTTTTAGAGTATAGGTCTTTCATCTCCTTGGTTAGGTTTATTCTTAGATATTTTATTCTTTGTGATGCAGTTGTAAATGGAGTTGTTTTCCTGATACCTTGTTCTGCTAACTCATTTAGTATATAGGAATGCAACAGATTTTTATGTATTAATTTTGTATCCTGCAACTTTGCTGAATCCAGTTATTAGTTCTAGTAATTTTCTGGTGGATTCTTTAGGGATTTCTATGTATAATACGTCATCTGCAAACAGGGACAGTTTAATTTCTTTACCAATTTGGATGCCTTTTATCTGTTTGTGTTGTCTGATTGCCATGGCTAGGACCTCCAGAACTATGTTGAATAAAAGTGAGGAGAGCAGGCATCCTTGTCTTGTTCCTGATCTAAAGGAAAAGCTTTCAGCTTTTTGCTGTTAAGTATGATGTTGGCTGTGGGATTGTCATATGTGGCTTTTATTATGTTGAGGAACTTGTCCTCTATACCCATTTTGCTGAGAGTTTTTATCATGAATGGATGTTGAATTTTGTCAAATGCTTTTTCAGCATCTATGGAGATGACCATGTGATTTTTGTCCATCTTTTTGTTGATATAGTGGATGATGTTGATGGATTTTCTAATGTTGTACCATCCTTGCATCCCTGGGATGAATCCCACTTGATCATAATGGATGATCTTTTTGATGTATTTTTGAATTTGGTTTGCTAATATTTTGTTGAGTAGTTTTTGTATCAATGTTCATTAGGGATATTGGTCTGTAATTTTCTTTTTTTTTCTCTGGTTTTGGTATTAAGAGTGATGTTGGCCTCATAAAATGAGTTTGGGAGTATTCCCTCCTGTTCTGCTTTTTGGAAAACTTTAAGGAAGATGGGTATTATGTCTTCTGTAAATGTCTGATAAAATTCAGTGGTGAATCCATCTGGCCCGTCGGTTTTGTTCTTAGGTAGTTTTTTGATTACCAGTTCAATTTCATTGCTGGTAATTGGTCTATTCAGATTTTTTGTTTCTTCCTGGGTCAGCCTTGGAAGGTTGTATTTTTCTAGAAAGTTGTCCATTTCTTCTAGGTTACGCAGTTTGTTAGCATATAATTTTTCATAGTATTCTCTCATAATTGTTTGTATTTTTGTGATGTCCATAGTGATTTCCTTTCTCATTTCTGATTCTGTTTATGTGTGTAGACGCTCTCTTTTTCTTGATAAACCTGGCTAGGGGTTTATCTATTTTGTTTATTGTCTCAAAGAACCGGCTCCTGCTTTCATTGAATTTTTTCTATTGTTTTTATTCTTCTCGATTTTATTTATTTCTCCTAATATTTATTATGTCCCTCCTTTTACTGACTTTGGGCCTCTTTTGTTCTTCCTTTTCTAGTTTTGTTAATTGTGAGTTTAGAGTGTTAATTTGGGATAGTTTTTTTATCCTGAGGTAGGCCTGTATTGCAGTATACATCCCTCTTAGCCTGGCCTTCACTGCATCCCACAGATTTTATGGTGTTGAATTATTGTTGTCATTTGTCTCCATATATTTCTTAATCTCTTTTGCTGTGTTTTGTTGATGAGTTTGGCTAGACATTGTTTTGTTTAATTTTGTTTTTCATTTCATTATTTTTAATCTTTTCAAGATTAAACATTTTTTCTATTTTTCTGTTAACTGCTTTTATCTTTATTATTGCTTTTTTCTTAGTTTTGGATTTAATTTGCTCTTCTTTTTGTAGTTTCATAAGGTAGAAACCTCCATCCTTTTAAAAAACCTTTTTTCTTCTCTTATATATATGTTTAATACCACAAATTTTTAAGTAGTGCTTTGCTGCATCCCACAAATTTTGCTACTTTTTTGTTACTGATTTCTAACTTAAATGTATTAGTTTTGTGGTCTTTATGAAATAGTCTTTTTTTAAAAGACATACTTTATGGTCTATGGTGGAAGATATTTCTCAGAAACATTTTTCAAATTATATTTGATAAAAGATATTAAATCTTTGAATTTTGTTTTTCTTTGTTTCAGGTCTTGGTATGGTGACTCCTGTGAATGACCTTAGAGGATCTGATTCTATTGCCTATGATAAAGGAGAGAAATTATTGCGGTGTAAATTGGCAGCATTTTACAGATTAGCAGATCTCTTTGGATGGTCTCAGCTTATCTACAATCATATCACAGTGAGCATTAAATGGGGCAGTTATTAAATGATAAATGGAATGTTATTTGTCTGGTACCACCTCTTTCTATTTTGGAGAAGAGGGAAGTGACTGAACTGAAATAGTTCTTGGAATTCCTTCCTTCTAATTCCTGACTTTAGAGTACAATAATCTGAGAATTGTCCAATTTGAATAAAATATTATGGGAATAGTAGTTCTTAAAACTCCTGTTTTGCATGCTAACCTAATAAATAGGTGTTTATCAAAGACCTAACCTAATAAATAGGTTGTTTATCAAAGACCTGCAGTCAACTGTGGTCTGGCAGCAGATGACCCTGCCTTTGGGTATTGTCACAAGGTCAGTAGCAGCCTAATGCTACATCACAATGCGTATGTCATCACCTCACTTCACCTCATCACACAGACATATTGTATCATCTCATGTCATTGCAAGAAGATGGGTGAGTGCACATGCTCTTAAGATGTTTTGAGAGAGAGACACAGCACATTCACTTATTAGAGTTTATAGTTCTCACTGTTCTATTTTATTACCAGTTATTATTAATCTCTTATTGTGCCTAATTTATAAATTAAACTTTATCACAGGTATGTTTGTGTAGGAGAAAACATAGTATATGTGGGGTTTGTTACTGTCTGCAGTTTCAGGCATCCGCTGGAGGGGGTCTTGGAAAGTTTTCGCCATCGATAAGGTGGGGACGACTGTGTAGGCAGTTCCTAAAGCTCTTTTCATGCCTATAAACCTAAGAATGAAGAGATTTTCTTTCCTCTGATGAATGCTTTCTATCCTCACACTTGCTTCCTTAGCTGCTCCAGTGTTAGTCATTTTTCAACATTATCAGGGCCTCTGTTTTCTTCAGCTGATTGTTGTAATGGGTATTTACTGTGTCACAAATATTTACTTCTCTGTCCCAAGCATTGTTCTTACCATGGGGCTGTGTCAGCAAATCAAATGCTGCCTTCTGCACTGTAGTCCATAAGCCCGAGTTCATGCCCCACTTTGTCTAGCTTGGATTTCATTGTCTGTCATTTCAGTAACACTATGCCGGTACCATGTTATTCCCTCTCTGCACTGAGCAACCAGATACTGCTGCAGGGAGCTTTGCAACAGAGCCCATTGGTTTTCTCCATAGATTTAAAACCTGAGTCTTAAAGGGACCCACAGCACTGCTTGGGAACTATAGGACATCTCTCTTACAAGCTCACTAATACTTGGAAATTATCTTTGAAACTCCTGGCCTCTTCCCAGCAAACGGCACATTGTGTCATGGGGAAAATGGATGCTTGTACCCATACTGTACTGACCATCTGTTACAGTGTCCTGCCTCCACCTGTGTCAGACTTTGCTTCCTGCTTGGAACTCTATCCCCTCCTTCCTTCTTAGAGTCTCAATTCATTGTCAGGTTTCTTTTTTCTTTGCTTTCTTGAAGAGATAAACCTCTTTCTTTGAACTGCTTCTTCCCTCCTTTGACTTTAAAACTTGTTCCAATCTTTTGCATTTTGTGTGTTCTGGTACCATTTAGAAGAGGGATGCTGACTAAGCTGAAATACATGTGTAATGTCTTCCTTCTGGTTCCTGACTGCAAAGTATCATGATCTGAGAATTGTCTAGTTTGAATTAAAAAGTATGAGACTAGTAATTCTCATTTTTCTCATTTAGTTTGTCTTTTCATTTAATTTCTTCTGTTGGATATCTTAAATTATTAATATAGTGCCTGCTTATAGTAACAAGTGTATCTTACACAGATGTTTTAAGAAGTTGAATTCTGCCGATCCTCTTAACTCCCTTGAGGCAGCAAGTGTTGACAGCTGTTTAAGTTGTTTTATGCTTTTCTCCATACTCAATGCATACTTAGGTGTTGTTCACACGGGGACTTATAATCAGTGATGCTCATTAAGTCAGCTCCATTCTGGACTCTTAAGGAATGCTAAAGCTCTAAAGTGGTGGTCTGGAGCCCACCTTTGTGACCAATGTGCTGTTTCTGGGATGTGGTACAGATCTTTGTCAGAGAGACCGAATTACCCTCTCCTCCACATACTGTCTATTTTCCACATTGCTGCGAAAGTGGACTTTTCAAAATGCAAACCTGACCCTCTTGTATCCACACTGTCGTGCTTGTGGAATGTTACTCCCACCCGAGCACACCTGCTTTATTTCCCTCATGGCAGTTATATCATCCATGCTGTATGTTCACATGTCTGACATCAGTCTCTGCCCACATGAATGTCAGCTCCATGAAGGGAGCCTCTGTTGGTTCCTCTTGTGTCCCCAGGACAAGGAACTGTGCTGGGCACAGAGTAACCTCAGGTGGGCGACCGTATGACGTCCCCAGCTGAAGTGGAATTCTGCTTTGGTAAAATTGTCAAATAGTGACTCCATGGTGCCTTGATATTTGATCAGAGTCCACTTAGCCAGATGTCTTCTGTGTACCTGAATGAGAATTGCTGGGATCTGTGGCAATCACGCTTGACAGAATGCTCTGTATAGAGAATTAGTGTTAAATGGTTGCCTAAGAACTAGTTCCATGAAAAAGTTACAGCTGCAATACGATATGTAATCCTTGGCTGTAATAACTCTTAACATTCTTTAGAGGTTCTAAAATGCTCTTTGTCACTAGTCCTATTATGAATGTTATCTAAATAAGTTTGAATTGCTTGTTTGTTTTTTTTCCCCTTAATTCTTTGGAACTTGGCTGAGTCAAAGTATTAGTTAAGTTTTTTTTGCTGTTAATGATCTGTTTGGGACTTAGTACTAAGTAAAAAAGAAATTCAAGTTCCCAAAAATATTTCCTATATCTTGTGAATCAAGGAATCTTTGAGGAAGAAAATTTTTTTTAACCAATTATGGCATCCATTGTTTTATTTTTCAATCTAGGTATGATCATGTAAGACACCTAAAAGAAGAGAAATATTAACAGTATTTATTAGTGCAACAAAAAGTGCTAGCAGGTCACTGTGTCCTTATCTTTGAAAGAAGGTGTCTTGCCAATGGGTTTCAGCCCCAGGCAAGTTCGCTATGGATTCAGTGTAACCAAAGAAATTGACAGCAAAACGGTCTTGGGGTGAAAGGGTCATACCCAACTTTATTTCCGGGTGGCAGGTCAGTCACTAGAATTCTGTTCACTCAGAGCGAGTCTGCTACAGCAAGCTGGTCTCTGCCCCTGGGCCCCTGTGTCCGCACAGCCATCCTCTGGGCCTCTCTGCACAGTCGTCCCACATAGCCATCCTCTGGGCCTCTGTCCTCGGCACTGCCACCACTCCAGCCTCTGCTCTGCTCTCCTGCAGCCTTGCAGCCCTGCCACCCTGTCGTGCCCAGAGCTCTGGGTGGAGCTCTTTATATAGAGTCAACAGCCCATGTACAAGTGTGCAGTGAGCTAGCCAACCAGGGCCTGGTGAGAATCCTGGCCACAGGAACTCTCATTTTATCCATAGAAGGCTATAGGGATTTTCTCCTAATGGATTTAAAGGTGTTAATAGGTCTTAGAGTATTGGAGATAACTGAGTTAGATTGCATTAGAATTAGAGAAGCTTTGGGAGATGTCAAATGAAGGGGTAGCCTAGTTAGCACATGAGCTGGGCTTCCTCTCCTGGTGGCACTTAGCTGGTGGCAGGACTTTTCCATCTCTAAATGCTTGTTGGTGGCAGTGGAATGCTCGGTTCAGCTCTATTCTGGACCCTAAGGAGTGCTAAGCCTCTGAGGTGGTGGTCTGGAGCCCACCACCTTTGTGACTAGTGGACTGTACTCCTGGGGACATGAGGCATGAGGTAGATCTTTACCAGAGATACTGAGCCGGCTGGTTTTCAGTGAGTGACCTTAAGATCTGTGACTTTAGAATTCGTCCCTCACACACAAAGAAGGAGTGTTAGATGTGTGGGAAGACGTGCGGTGAGACCAGTGCTGGTCTTCAGGGACTAGAAAACTGAGATGTCCTCTCTTCTTTCACTCTTTATCTGTATTTAGCACTGTCTCCTTTTAGTTTCAGACTCAGAAAATCTAGATTTTAAGCTTTTCCATTAAAGTATGTAGAGCTGTTAAGCCCGCTCTTGGAAATATATGTTAAGGAAATAAGTCAAGAAAATATGTATAAATATATTACAGCATTATGTGTAATAATGAAAAACCTTAAGAGTCTATCCAGCAGTAGGTGGAAAATGGCTCAATTTGAGGGAATGAAAAATACTTTAAAAGGCCATGTAAAAATATGAAAAGTGAAACAACTATGGAGGAGAAAATATACAGTGTTTATAACTGAATTATATCTAGAGACAAGGAGAAAAGTGATGAAAAATGGCTATGTAGAATTTTTTTAATGTGGAGTCAGTACATGCTTCTGAAATTCACATGCAAATAAAAAGGCCAAGAATAGCTAAGATACTCTGAAGAACTAGGTGAGGAGATTTCTTTTCTACCAAATATCAGAGTTATAAAGTGATGATAATTAAAACAGCATGTTTTTGACAAAGGAGGAGACAGAACAGAGAGCCCAGAAGCAGATCTCATCCACTGAGATTGATACAGAAGAGTTGGCATCACAGACTGGCAGGCAGAGGATGGACTATGCAGTCAAGAATTGGTGCTGGTACAATTGGATTGAAAAATCAGAATTGGAAACTATTGGATTCCTGCCTTATAATATATATACTAACAAAGCAATTATAATGAATTCTATAAAAGTTCTGTAAGTATAGATGAAAATCATTAACTTTAACTTCTGACCTAAGGAAAGATGTCTTGAGACACAAAAGCACTGAGTGTAAAAGAAAAAATGGTAAGTTTGAATACATTAAACTGACTAAATTTCTCATCACTAAAAGACACCATGAAGAGAGTAAGAATAAAAGCATACCTGGAAGACTTTGCTTCACAGGTAGCCAGTACAAGTTAATATCCAGAGCAGTTAAAGACCATCAAGAAGAAAGGGACAAGCCAGCGTAAATGGAAAAAAGACAAGAAAATAATTTCACAGAAGGGGAAATGAGAATGACTTATATAAAAATATGAAAAGTTGCTCAGTTCATTAGGGAACCTCATTTGTAACCAGGTGATTATTAGTTTAAAACCACAATGGAATACCATTTCACAGACATCAGATTTTTAATTTTAAGAAGACAGTTGTAGGAGCACAGAATTATATACACTACTGGTAGGAGTGTGCATTTCATTAGGCCCTTTGGAAAATTACTTGGCATCACCTTCTAGTTTATTACCCTGGAGAAGCTTGAGCATGTACATTAGGAGACAGGTACAGAGATGTTCACAGTGTTGTTCTTCATAACGAAATGGAAACCATGTCCATGAGCAGAAGAGTAGATCATAAATGTATATTCATCTAGTGCATAGTAGACAGCAGTGAAGATGATAAAGCCATGTGTGTCGTGACCTGGAGGAACCTCAAAATAATACTGTGGGGAAAAAAGTCCCTAAAAAAAACATATAGTATGATTCCAATTACGTGAAGGTCATATATAGATTAAAAATTAAACAATAGATTGCTTAGGATTGAATATAAATAAGGTAAAATGGTAAAGAAAAAAGGAGAAAATGTGTAACATGTAATCGAGGATACCAGTTACTTCTAGGATGTGGGAGAAAAGAAGTAGAGCCTCAGGGACACTAGACTATCTCTGAGGCGGGCTGCCGAGCGCACAGGTGTTTGTTACTGAGCTGTACATGTCCTCTCCAGCTAGTCTTTATATGTATGTATGTTTTAAAACTTCAAAAGTGTACAAAATAAGCAAAAATATCTACAGTCTTATTTTTCTTCATCCCAACCAATAATACACAAAGTAGCTCCTTATTTTATGTTTTGTTTTGACCCAACTTGGGATTTGGGGCAATTGTATGTTTTGTTTTAGATAGTTAAAAAGATCAGCATGTTTTTTTTTTTTTATTAAGGTATCATTGATATACAATCTTATGAAGGTTTCACAGAGCAAAACTGGTTACAACATTCACCCATGTTGTCAAGTCCCCCCCACACCCCATTGCAGTCACTGTCCATCAGCACAGTAAGATGTCACAGAGTCACCACTTGTCTTTTCTGTGCTATACTACCTTCCCTGTGTCCCCTCTACATTATGTGGATCAGCATGCTTTTTGACATAAACAACTGACTTTAGAAATGAGCCTGGCTAACTCACCATTAATGGGAAAATGGTTTTGGGAAAAGGGGAAACCATGTGTACATTTAAAAAAAAATTTTGATATCATTAATTACTTGAACAACATTATGGTTACTAGATTCTCCCCATTATCAAGTCCCCCCCACATACCCCATTACAGTCATTGTCCATCAGCGTAGTAAGATGCTATAGAATCATTACTTGTCTTCTCTGTATATACTGCCTTTCCCGTGCTCCGCCCCACATTATGTGTGCTAATCGTAATGCCCCCTTTCCCCCTTATCCCTTCTTTCCCACCCACCCTCCCCAGTCCCTTTCCCCTTGGTAACTGTTAGTCTCCTCTTGGGTTCTGTGAGTCTGCAGCTGTTTTGTTCCTTCAGTTTTTTCTTTGTTCTTATGCTCCACAGATGAGTGAAATCATTTGATACTTGTCTTTCTCTGGCTTATTTCACTGAGCATAATACCCTCTAGCTCCATCCATGTTGTTGCAAATGGTAGGATTGGTTTTCTTCATGTCTACATTTTTGAAACAGTGAAGAGAGATAGGGATTTATAGAGAGTGGATATTACAGGGATGGATTTATAGAGAACAGGCTCACGAATGGTAATGATTTACTAATACTGCTCCTACTACCAGTAGTGATAGTGTAGTGGGGAGATGTCATTTATTGGAAGCTTTATTCTGAGTTATGAGCCCATATCATCCCTTCTTTATGGATAAGGAGACCAGGAGTCCACAGTCCCCAAAGCAGCATAGCCGGTTCTTTGCAGAGCTAGGATTTTAACCCATGTCTTATATAACTGTGGGTCCCCATTATACTGCAGTGATGGAATCAAGTGATTTTAGCACGAAGAGGTCACAAGTAGATAGCATAGTTTCAGATAACTGAGAACTAAGTTGTAGAGGGACATAGGGCTTGTTCTGGGTTGCATACTAGAAGCAGTGATGAAAGACTCAGGAAGACAGCCTTCTGCTCAGTGTGAGAGAGAGAACTCCAGCTTCTGCTCCTGACTCTGCTGACCCCAGTGTGGGTATGCAGTGGGTGCTCAGTGACTGCTGACTGAGGAAGTGAGGAGGCCACGTGAGGATGTGGGAGCATCCCTGTGACTACAGCTGCCTGAGCAGATCCAGTGGGCGTCAGTTTGGGTCTCTGCAGAACATTCATGATGCTGGCCAGAAGTTGGACTAAACGCCTCATGGCCTTTTCAACAAACAGTAACTTCTGCCTACGTGATCCTAGTTAGAATTCTTAGCCAGTAGTAAATGTATTCCACCTGAGGAGCTTTGGGAATTCTTTTGAGTTTATCCCCAGATTAGTATAAAAAGCACTCTGAATTAGTTGATGGCAGGACTCGTTTCTTTTCTCCTGCTGTATCACCAGCATCTAGCACGTACCTAGTATGTACTGATCCGTAGTGAGTGAACTGCAGAGAGAATCTGTATTGTGGAAGGGCAGACGAACCAGGGGGCACTGGTATGCTGTTCTAGAGACTTTGGTCGGGCTTTAAGGAAGAGCTCTTGTGATTGTTATGACTGCCGTTATCCTGCTGGCTTTGGGTACTTAAAAACGCATTTTGACTCTTAAGTAAGTTGGGTTGTCATCGTTTCCTTCCAGAAGAGGCACTTTTCTTCGAGTGATACTGGTTTGGTGGCCACCGGGGATTTTTCTTTGTTAAGTTAACTGTCATGAATAGGACCAAGATGCCCTTGATGAACCTGGTAAATTACTACCACATAATAGTAGAAAGCTCTCAGCTCTTCTTAGCTTTGTGAGAGACCCTGTACTTAAGTGCTTTTCTGTGAGACCCTGTACTTAAGTGCTTTTCTATGAGGTTCTTTTATTGCTCTCAACAAACCTGTGAAATTCTGGACTGAAAGAGATGCAAATGATTTCAGTTGGATTTTTGGGCTAACTCAGTAATTTTCTCTGCAGACCAGAGTGAGCTCCGAGCAGGAACACTTCCTCATTGTACCTTTTGGGCTTCTCTACAGTGAAGTGACTGCATCCAGCTTGGTGAGAATGTCCTTTTCCTTTTGGGGTCATGAATGTGTAGGTCATATTAGATAATTAAACACCGTTTAATATAATTAGGCATATAAAATCCAAGAAAGAGGAAAAGGTCTATGTTCTGGGTGATTAACTCAGAGAGAAACCTTTAAAATTAGTCACAAACACTTTGAACTTTGGTTTAAATAATTTGTAGAGTAATTTGAAACCCTCTTGACATTTTAGAATCTTGTTTTCTTACTTTCAGGTGAAAATCAATCTCCAAGGAGATGTTGTAGATCGTGGCAGCACTAACCTAGGAGTGAATCAAGCTGGCTTCACATTACACTCTGCGGTTTATGCTGCACGACCAGACGTGAAGTGTGTCGTGCATATTCACACACCAGCTGGGGCCGCAGTGAGTGCCCCCATTTACATTTTAAAGCTGTTTTGTGAGAGGCACTTTACATTTACTCTGAATTATCCTTTCTTGTAACAAGTCAGTACACCCGATTTTCTAGCTTAAAAAAGTGTTTTTTTTACTCACTAAGTTTGCCTTTCTTAAAATAATTGTTTTCTTTTAAAGGGTCTGTATGCTATCTACTTTTGAAAAGCCTGTAAGTCTGGATGGAAAATGTCTGTTAGACTTAATTAGGAGGTCATAGTTTTGCAGGGCCAAGATTTCAGTGTATTGAGACTGTTGGGAAGTACAAAATGACAGCAGTAAATGGAGTCCTTGTTTGAGAAGAGGAATGGGAAAGGGGTGGTGGGCGGGGGGCAGCTGTGGGCTCAGGGAAGGGTTAGTAGAATGCTAGAGTCTTGAGTGTGCTGATGGGCAGTGGAGAAGGACTCGCGCTTGAGAGGGAGGTTAATGGTTTGAAAGAAACCTGGCCAGCTCCACTGCAGATGTCCCCCCTGCAGAACCCAGAAATATGAAGGGGGGCAGTTGGTGGAATAGGGCTCAGTCAGCTACTGGGAGACCTGCCTCTAGGCCCAGAGCCCTGGCCTGCTCAGCAAGCCCAGCCCTTGTGCGGTGAACAGGCTGCCCTGACAGAGCCCCAGGCCCCTCAGCGTGAACAGGCATGGTTTGTGAAAGCAGAACACTATAGAAGTATCGAGAGTTGGCTTTTCATCACCAATTTTATATTTTAATGACTTTATGGGCAGATAACCTCATTGATTCAGTCATGCTGAATTTTAACCTATTTTGATGTTTTAATGTCCTGCATTTTAGATTGGGTGAATATTGGCTCTGGTTTATTTATTTTACTTTGAAGATGTCAGCATCAGAATTTACCGTTCTCTGAATTTTTTCCTCAAACAGTGCATGCTCTTCCAAGCACTGAGAAGTCCATGCAAAAAAGAGTCCTCTTTAAAGAACCATTAGACATACCTTTGAGAATACTGTTACAGCTACCACGTAATTTGTTTTAACAAAATAACATTACTTGGTAAGGATATTTCTTCTTATAGAAAGGCTAATTCTGTGAAAGGAATTAAATATGGAGTTGCCTTTTTTGTGCTGATGTCTTTTTAGATGAACTTTTTGGTAGAATTGCTGCACCTATAGATACTGTTCCAATCTTGGATCCTGTTAGTTTAGATAGAAGATTTAAAATTAGCATATTCTAAAGTCAATTTGGGAAACTTAAGGCTATATGAACACTTAGATTTTTGCTTAAATCAATGTAGTTACTGAAGTTATTGTATAATTATAGTAAACTTTTATAAACTTGCTTTTATCAAATTTTCAGATGTTTTGATCTCATCCACAGCATAAGATGAAAAGCACACAGAAACTGCGCAGCACTTCAGAAACCTCTGTGCAGTGTTGTGCTCATTCTTAGGAAGCCATTGTCCCTCCTTGCATTAGATCCAGGGCTCTCGTTATCATTAAATCTGAGCTCATCCAGTGTTCCTTATCCATGCAGAGAAGTCCAGAAAGATGTGGGATTTCTTGTGAGGCTCTCCCAGCTTAGTGATACTTTTGATTTTTAAGTGTAGGCTGTTAGGCAGCACCAGAAGTAAAGTTTGTCTTAAGTTCATGGGTTCATTACTGAGAAGAGAACAAAGTAAAATATGATGCCCTTTTTTATTTCTTTGAGAAAAGCATTTAGCATGTTAGTGTGTAACTCTTGATTGTCTTCATTTGTGGTTCCTGCTTATTTCTTAGGTGTCTGCAATGAAATGTGGCCTCTTGCCAATCTCCCCAGAGGCACTTTCCCTTGGAGAAGTGGCTTATCATGATTATCATGGGATTCTGGTTGATGAGGAGGAAAAAGTTTTAATTCAGAAAAATCTGGGGCCTAAAAGCAAGGTCAGTAAGCATCTACTTTGGTGTTTAAATTTTAGAGGGAAGAAGGAAAAAGTTGAAGTGTCAGCCTTCCTGCCTCACTCCACTGGGCTTTCCTGTTTGCCCCTCAGGTTCTTGTTCTCCGGAATCATGGGCTTGTATCTGTTGGAGAGAGCGTTGAAGAGGCCTTCTATTACATCCATAACCTCGTTGTTGCATGTGAGATCCAGGTAGGTGGGTGGCCATTCCGCTCCATCTGCAGTTTATTTTGGTGTTTGTGTGGTTTCCATAGGTTTTTGATCCTTGTTTTGTGGGAATGAGTATTTGAGCAATCTCCCTGCCAGAGACAAGCTCATGGATTTCAAAATTGACTAGGCAAATGCCATTTCACAATTTCAGTTAGCAGATGATTGCTGGGCTTTTCATTTCTAATTTTTTATTTTTCAAATATGTGACTCAGTACCACTTGTGGAGTCCTAGTGTGTGCCAGCCCGGCCATTAGGTGCTTTATGGACATTGTTACATGTTACTTCACTTGACCCTCATGGCCCTCCTCTTGAGAAAGCAGTTTGGAGAGGTAGAGGCTTGCCCGCGGTCTAATGGCTGTGCGCGCCACTTACGCTGCTCTGCTCAGCCCCCACTTTGTATTCTCCCCACTGTTACCTTCACTTACGTCTGTGCAGTTGTGTGGTCCTGTCACCTTCAGAGGGTCTGGAAGGCTCTTTGTTTTCCCAGTTCTTCGCTAACTATGAGTGCACAGTGTTGTTGTAATGTTGAAGAGAGACTTCTGAAAATAGCCTTGTGATTAGTCTGTCACTATCTGCCCTACATCTTTTATTCTTACACTCCAATGATTTGGTTTCTTTGGAAACCTACATTTCTGTTTAAGTGCCACCTCCTAGTTACCCGGTCCTCTTGCTCTCAGGAAGAAACTCAAACTGTGGTGTCTCCTTGTTTTGGGAAAGGTCAGAACTCTGGCCAGTGCAGGAGGGCCGGACAACTTAGTCCTCCTGGATCCTGGGAAGTACAAAGCCAAGTCCCGCTCCCCGGGATCCCCAGCAGCAGAGGGCGCCGGACTGCCTCCCAAGTGGCAGGTTGGCGAGCAGGAATTCGAAGCCCTCATGCGGATGCTCGATAATCTGGTAAGAATGTTGCTCCCACTTGCTGAAAAAGCCTTCGTTCCAAAAGGACAAAAGGTGGTGTTTTTATAACAAGTGAAATAGTGTGAAATTGCTGTCTTAGTTCAGTATCTAGTTGAGGGCTTTCACCCTCAGAAACCACAGGGGGGCACCAAGGCAGTTCAGCTTTTACATCGTGATAAAATACGGAGGTGAGGGTGGCTTGTTGTATCTTGTGCTTTAAAGGCGGTCTCGTTGGGACTGCGCGCACAGGGGCGGAAAGAGCGTTCTGCCCAGTACTGAGCTGCTGGCTAGCTTGCCCCTGGAGCAGCAGAGTCGGCTCGGCAAGCCATGGCGGCGGGAGGTCTTCTAAATCAGCCGGCCAGGTGTTCTGATTTTTGTTTGAGCTTCACGTTTAAACAAGGTAGTTGCAGAAGCAAGAAGCTTAACTTTCCTGATGATTTTGGGACAAAAAGAATTCTTAGCTCTGATTCAGGAGCTGCTAACTGTCCGCAGGGCTGAGTGTCCACAGTCAGCGAGGGAGGTGTGAGCAGAGAGAGACTTCCTTAGTTTATGAATTCATTTGCTCTGTAGAATGGATTGCGTTCACTGACTGTCTATTCTTGAGCCTATAGCCACCAGCAAAGCACAGTTCGTGCCTTCAAGGAGTTCATGGCCTAGTGAGGGGGCTGGACAAACAAACCCAGCACAAGTGATCCATTCCCTGGTGGAGTGTGGCAAGCGCTGCAGCACAGAAACGGGGCCTGGGCCAGGACTGGTCAGGGCAGCAAGGGAGGAGCTGAGCTCACCAGGGAGATGGAAGCAGCAGCTGCAGTTAGGTGGCGGACCAGGAGGGTGCAGCGTCAGGAAAGGCACCTTGGAGGAGGACTGGGCGGGGCCGCAGGGGCCCAGGCTCTGCGCTGGTTCCTGGTTGCCCCCAAGGAGCCCGGCAAGGCGAGGGGCATGGGGGTGGCCCAGCCTCACAGCCCTTTCCTCCTGGCAAACACTTTGACGCTTCACGTCTCTTGTATCTAAAAGTTAGGTGGGGAACAGGGGAGAGGAATGAGAGTCAAGAACACTAGCCCACCACATCTTGTGCACTCAGTCAATTCTGGAGAGCAAGAACCAGACAGCGACTCTACTTTAATAAGGGAGGAAGAGAATGGATGAAAGGGCAACGCGTGAGACATTCACTTCAGCAAGGATGTGTTGTTGTTCAGCACCTGTAAGGGGCACAGGTATGCCCGTCTGTAAAATTTGAAGGTTGTTGCATTTATAAGAAAGAAACTGGACAGCAGTCACTGATTGTAGTCTGTGTTTAGCATTCGGTCATTGGGTGTGTTTGCTAATAACTGAGGAGGGTGAACAGTAGTTGAACCTTACACTGTGAGGAATGTTTCGTTTCAACATGGAGAGTCAGGAGACATGCTAAATTGTTTCCCAAAAAATCAAGATACAATTCTAGCTTCTCCAAAGAAGGAATAAACCCCTATTTTTAAGTATAAGCCATATAGTAGGTCTGAATATTGCCTCCAGTGTTAGTTTGACAGCGTTTAAAGGGGAAGAAATAAAGGAAAAACCTTCTGCTTGGGATAATATTTGGTGAAGTCTTGGGTGGTTGACCCTAAAGCCATGAAACTTATACAAGTTCTCTAAACAAAAGGAAAGTTGAACTAATTAGAACTGTTTTTCTGAGGACAGTTCTTTTATAGCTGAGTCACTGTCTTTTCTTCCTCAAGCACACTCATCAGTGGAAGAATTGCCAAAGCAGACATTACCTGTCTTTCCGAGCACAGTTAAGGAAAAAACCACAACCAACCAACAGCTTCATTTCAGAATTATTACTACCCTTTAAAAAATGCATTAAGAGAATGATTGGTAATGAATGTGGCCCCCCAAAGATGAGCAGGACTCAGAGGGAAGAGAAAATTTCTGAATTGAAAGGAATGTAGATGTTGCTGAAAAGTACCTCAGCGAGCAGGGTGCAGGCCACCGAGCCATCTTCTGTGACTAGCATTGTGCAGTCCCTTCAGGTCTGAGCTGTCCTGTGGTTCATTGTAGAATTGCTGTGCATGACTTGGTTCAGACAGGAAACCATGTGTCAGGAGCCCAGGAAAGCTGAGTTAGGTCTGCAGGTCAGGGTCTCACAAGGCTGCAGTTAGGGTGTTGGCCTGGGCTCCGTTCTCATCAGAAGACTTAACTCGGGGAGAATCCACTTCCAAGCTTTCCCAGGTTGTGGGCAGAGTTCATTTTCTTACAGCTGCAGGAACCATGGTACCTTGCTTCTTCAGAGCCAGCAGTAGAAAGAGACTCTCCAGGTGGGTGTACACTCATGCGGTCCATGCTCCCAGCTCTGCTGAGCTCCACTGGTTAGAAGCAAGTCACAGGTCCCAGCCCTGCTCTGGAGGGGGTGGCACTGCAGGAGGTGAGGACCGTAGGGGCCACTGTAAAGCCTGTCTGCCGCATAGCCAGTGCTAAGCACTGGCTGAGGGGCATGAGTAAGGCCCATCCTCGCCTTGGAGGTACGGTCTGGGGGCGGTTAGCAAAAAGGGTTGGTGCAGCACGATGGCTCAGTGCCTTGCAGAGGTGTGAATTAGCCGGCCTGGTGCTTTAAAGCACAGGAAGTGGTTACAGGGCAAGGTCAGAGATTGAATTTGAACGTTGTTACCATCAGAGGTAAAGTGATTTTGCTAAGAACCAGTAGTCATGGGATGTGCTTGTCTGGTCTTCCCTAAAAGTTACCCCAGTATTTAAACTGTGACTTAAAAGGTAAAAAAAAATTAGGTTAGTTAATATAACCTGTACTGTAGCCAGTAAACTGAACATGCCATGCAGCCAGCACCCAGGTCGGAAAACAATCCCAGTACCTCAGAAGCCCTTCCCTCCTTTCATCACTCACCCGCTCCCAGGTAACGACCGTCCTCTCTTCTGACAGCAAAGACAGGCTTTGCCTCCTCCTGTACTTTCTATAAATGGAGTGATACAGTATATCCTTTCCATTTGGTTTCTGTCACTCAACCTCCTACTTGTGGGGTTCACCCTGATGTAGCACCTGGCAAGAGTATTTACTCTGATTACCGAATCATTTTCCATGACATGAATAACCACAGCTTACCCATCCTACTATCGCTGGGCTTCCAGGCTGTTGCTAATTTGGGGCCATCAAGAAAGTGCTGCTGTCAGCATTTTAGTGCCTGTGTTTTGGTGGATGTGTTTACCTTTCTGTTGGGCGTGTGCCTAGCAGTGGAATCAAGCTGAAGGGCAGGCATGTGTTCTGCTTCTGTAGGTACTTCTATACAATTTTCCAGTGTGAAACTGTCTTATGATCTGGAATATTGACTACCTTTCACTCTCTTTGGATCCTAGGGTTACAGAACTGGCTACCCTTATCGATACCCTGCTCTGAGAGAGAAATCAAAAAAATGCAGCGATGTGGAGGTTCCTGCTAGCGTCACAGGTCCCTCCTTTGCTAGTGACGGTGATTCGGGCACTTGCTCCCCTCTCAGACACAGTTTTCAGAAGCAGCAGCGAGAGAAGACAAGATGGCTGAACTCTGGCCGGAGCGATGATGCTTCTGAGGAGGGCCAGAATGGAAGCAGTCCCAAGTCGAAGACTAAGGTGTGGACGAACATTACACACGATCACGTGAAACCCTTGCTGCAGTCTCTCTCGTCCGGTGTCTGCGTGCCAAGCTGTATTACCAACTGCTTGGTCTGTGCCTACCTTACTGTTCATAGTTAGATGATGTAGAGCAAGTTGGGTGGCTGGGGCTTCGGAGGCTTTGGGAATCCAGCTCCTCTGATCCAGACTTGAAGAGAAACTTTGCTCCTTAACCTTCCTTCTTTAGCCTGAACCCAAATCGGCTTTATCCATCAGCTATAATTCAAGTAATACTGTCTGCTTGAAACTGCTTAAGATATGTTACCTTGCTTCAGTAATTCCAACACTAACTAACCCTATACATAGCAAAAATACTGAAGAACTTATGTGTATTAACCTAAAAGTAGGAGCGGCATTTAATCCTTCATGCACGAAGAGATGTTCACCCCTAACATTTTTGTGTTGTGAACTCTGGTGGCTTCATTAAGTCACTAAAAGTCTGTTCTTCAACTTGTTCATTGTTTTCTTAAGCAGTTTTCCTTGGGACTCATGGGTGTTTTCCTAGCTGGCCCCGCCCTCTTTGTTAGCCTCCTTCCCTGCTTGCTGTCCCAAAGCCTCCGAACGCTCTCTGCCAGCTCCCTCTGCATGGACTGTTGCATGTGAGTAGACGGCCATAGTGGTGAGTCTTCTGGCTCCTGCCGGCGCGGCATGACCCAAGTGCAGCACAGGCCACCTGCAGGCGCCAGTGATGGGCGCGGCTGGGCGTGCTTTGCCACAGTAGTGACCCTGCGCTGAAAGGCACTCTGCTGTCCTGGTGCGCACAGTCCCTGTGCGGCTGGTCTCCGTGACCGCCTGACCCAGCCTCTGCCAGTCCACCTGCTCCTGTGTTGCAGAGCAGGGGAAGCCCCTGAGGCCGGGGCAGCTCATGTCTGCGTGACACGGTCTGTAGTTCAGGTGAAATCAGGTAACCTAATCCTAAGCTAGGGGGCACCAACAAAGCAAAGTGGGGCTTCCTATTTTCTTTATAATAATGCTTTTACTTTATAGATCTCTTTAAAAGGAAGCAGTTTTCTCTTCCCCAGGTGGTCCTGGTGAGAGAGCCTCTGTGCTCCTTAGCAGGCGAGTCACGGGGGCAGAGGCTCAAGACCACCAGGCTCCTCCTCTGAGCCCGTCTCTCCATGAGTTTCTTCTACCCCCTGCTCTCCCGTATGCCTGTCTGCCCTACCTCTCTCTCTCTTGTTTTTCTTTCTTTAGTTTCATTTGTTTAGTTTTCATTTATTTTACTAGTCAAAGGGAGTGGGCCCTAAAAATCAATTTCCTGCTGATGACACAGAGTAAATTGCTGTTACAGATTTCCCCGAAGTATGTGTGTAGTGGCAGCTTTGAGCTTTATTTGCTATTAGCATAAAGAAATGTTAACTCACTTCAGGTGTTTTAGTCTGTGTACACATTGAAGGGGAGGCCTTGTTCAGCATTTGAGTCTGTTTCTCACTGTTCTGGAGTAATACAAATTCCACGCAGTGTCCCAGGTTGGTATATTCATTTATAATACTTGTGTTAAGTTTTCAAATGCGTTCAAGCTTCTGAGGTTGTTGTTTTAATGTTTTGACTACAAATTATTTTTAATAAAAAGCTGGAGTAAATTTATCTGAGAAGATAACTGTCAGTGAGTATCTCACGGCCCCCCGCTCATTCCCGTGGTCCTGCACAGCGGCTATGCGTTTGCCAGGTCTACTGCTTTCTTTAAAGTCTCTGGCATATGGCTGTCATACTGCCTCCTAAAGGTATCTGGAAAGGCGTGACATTTGCTGTCTAAGATGGGCTTGTTTTAATTCAGTGCCTACTTATGCTTAAGAATTAGAATTTTATTTTTAAAATCTCATATTTGATTGGAGATACAAAAAAAATGAGAGGCGCAGTGTGCTGATGCCGTGCGCTGACCTCTAAAGCAGCTGCTGGTGAGCGCTTATGAGGTGCTTCACGTTGTTTGGGATATTTTTGTAACACTCGAAAAGTATGAAGTTACATAAAAAATTCGACATCACCAAACTCCTCCACCAGGTCGCTGCTATGTACATGTTCATACAGTGATTTTCTTGGGTTAAAAGAGCTACACAGACAGTGCATTCTAAAGCTGTAGTTTATTTTATGTCAACGCAAACCTTTGGTGATGCCCGCTGCTGCCTCACCATGCACTCTCCCCACACTTGCATAGCATCATCACATCACTGTACATGACTCTGTCATCTCATGCTTCCAGCTGGCTTTGGCGTTGGTGACTCTCAGAGCAGTGACCCAGTGTGCTCTGAAGGGTCCCCACAGGCCAGCCTGAGGGTGACGGGGCCTAGCTCTGCCGTCAGCCTGTATCATGCCCTCGCTCCCCGCGGGGCTTTCTGCACGGCACGCACCGGCCACTCACGACTTGGCTTCCACCACTACTGGCTTCTATCGGGCCCGTGCTGCCCTGACCCAGCCACTGCGGTGGCCCGGGAGGTTGGTCATTGGTTCATTCTCTGTGGTGTTCGGCGCATGATCAGACGTGAGATAAGTTGGGCAACTTGGATGCTGTGGTGGTACCTGTTATTGTTGTAATTCTGACTTGTCAACTGTTTTTGATATTGCAGTGGACTAAAGAGGATGGACATAGAACTTCCACCTCTGCTGTCCCCAACCTGTTTGTCCCATTGAACACTAATCCCAAAGAGGTGCAGGAGATGCGGAACAAGGTGCGTGCTGGGGCTGGCCTGGTGGGGACTCGTGGGTGGCAGCGGCGGCGCAGGCAGGATGGCATGCATGCTGCTTCCCCAGCGAGGGGCCGCTCTTCGCGCTGCTTCTGCTGTCATGCTAACAAGTGATGTGCAAGCACCCAATGGTGGGGGGCCCGTGTTTCTTGAACTGATGCTTACTCACATAGTAGGACAGGACTGGAAGCTGCCAAGCCCGCTTCCGGCAAGAACAGCCTTAGTTCCTGGCTTTCAGGATTTGTTTGAAGAGTCCTGAGCATTTGGTGTATCAGACGTGAGACCCAGCAGTGTTCAGAGTGTCATTATGAGACGGGCACATAGGGAATGTTTCCCTTCAAGTCAGTGAGTGTGGGAAGAGACCTGTGTGTGCCAAGGCCACCTAGAAGGTGCAGAAGGTCAGAAGTGGGCCCGCCCCTGAGGCCTGTGGATTGCTGCTCAGGCTGGGGCAGGCCTGGCCACGCAGGACCCATGGGGGCTGCACAGAAGCGCAGCATGTGTGTGGCTGTGGACCCAGGTGACTCGCAGCCACAGAAAGGCTTCTCTGTGCTGCTGATGGGTGTTTCTCCTTGCCATCCTCAGATCCGAGAGCAGAACCTACAGGACATCAAGACGGCTGGCCCCCAGTCCCAGGTCTTGTGTGGTGTAGCGATGGACAGGAGCCTTGTCCAGGTGAGAGCTCAGGATGTCTCTGACATGAGCGGGTGGTGGCACTAATGTCTGTCTGCTCCAAAATGATTCTTAAGCCTGGAGAGATTGGCCCTGTGAGGTGAGTGTTCTAGGCAGCCAGTTATCCTTGTTAACAGTCTTCATGATAAGAAATAGTGCAGCCACTTCCCTTGAGCTGTAGGCCAAGCATAAGCATGCCCTGGGGGCCCTGCTCCACGACCTGCACGCCTTTGTGGGGCAGCACACGTGCCTCCCGCTTTGGGACGCAGGCTCGTCCTGGGTTCAGCAGAGTGCTGTGTAACATGCTCGGGGAGGGTGGGCTGACTGGCCTGCGTTCTTGTCCTTGAGCTGTCTGCACCAAAGCACTGCTTGGGGAAAGGTGGTTGCAGAGGTCACCAAGTGTCCACGTTCACACGCATTTCAGTAAAGATAATCACGTAAGTAGTTATCTCTGAAAAAATAAGTTGCCAGCTGATGCTTTAAACAGGGTAGGTGATGGTTGTCGCATTTCCGATTTTGGCCGGCTGTGATTCTGGTTCTGGGGTCTGTGTTTGCATGTGGCATCACCGGTACCACTGCATTGACCTGGCAGGCTGTCCCTGTTGCATGCTTTCCTCTGGCTCCATCCTGTGCACTTGGTGGATTTTTCAAAGCTGGGCCTGGTGGGCTCTGACAACTCAGTTTACTGTTGCAGGACGCACCCCTCTCTGACTGCACGGAAACAATCGAAGGGCTCGAGCTTACAGAGCAGACCTTTAGTCCTGCTAAATCTCTGTCTTTTAGAAAGGTACTCAACTGCCTGTCCTGAACTGCCTCTTGGCATGCGCTGCTGTCCTCCCCAGCCCATCCCCCACCTGTCTGCTCTCGCTCGGCATTGTCTCTTAGTTACCAAAGTAGCTTTAAACCCGTCTCTAAATTATCTGTGAGATAGCACAGAAGGTTCTGTTCTGCCTACTGTATTCTTTAATTAAAACATTTGGTATGAGGTTTACAGTGTTGAGCACTCTAGTTGTTGCTGAGAAGTGGCCGATCTTAACAATACGGGTGCGTTTCTGAAGTTCTGCATGTGACCGTGGTCAGTGCCTGTGTTTGGGTCTCAGGAGCTTGCCTTTCAAAGATGCTGATTGCGAAAGGCTGACGTGGGCAGTCTGGGGCCCGGGCAGCTTCTTGTGCGGCCTCCCATCTTCGCTTGCTCAGCTCTGACTAAATGTAGTGAGCATGACATTCGGACGGTGTATGATCGAAAGACCGTGGGTGTTCAGAGGAATGGGAAATCAAGGCAGTATCTTTGTTGCTGATGAAAAGTATTTAAGAACTTTTTTTATTGTTGATAATTTTTTAAATGTTGCAAGGGGGAAAAAGACTTAGGAAAATTTGAAAGCACAGATTGTGCTTTCTCTACGTATATGCATACCTAGCATGTCTGGAAGTGGAAAGTCTGGCATGACCTGGTCAGCTGGAAGGAACCCTTCCTAAACAAGCAGGCTGCTGGTGTGCAGACTTGGAGCCCAGGGCACGAGTCAGAGGCTCTCCTGGTTCCCCTGCAGGCAAAGGAAATGTTCAGCGCCTGTCTCAATTAACATGCCTCCAGGGAAATGCAGATATCATTTTAGCAATATGCCAATTGCCAGAGAAAAGCAGATTTGTACCAGAGATTCTACATTTTTGTCTGAGGTCCCCACTAGTAACTTTATTTTGCATACTTACATGTTAATTCAGCAGGTCCTGTTATTCCTTGTTCTTAGAAAGTGCTTCCAGCTGCCCTTCTTGGAGGGACTTCTCCGCCCAGGGGAGGATGTGCTCTTACCCCAGTTAGCTTGTTTCCCTGCTTTGGCACTTGAGGCTGAAACCTTTGTGATCCTGTATTCACAGTTCTTTGTCTCAGTGTGAGCCCACAGCCCACCAGAGCCCACCCGCAGTGCAGCTCTCTATCTCGGTGGCTGGCCCTTACGCCTACAGTCACTGCATTGTGTTGCGTGTAGTGGTTTCTCTCTCTACCTGCTGGGGGTTCTAGAAGGCAGGCTCATCACTGTTTGAAAGGACACACTCTTGGCCAGCCCCTCGCCCTCAGCTGTTTTCACTCCCTCCAGCAGTGCTCAGACTGGGTGTGAGTCAGCCGCCTGTGGATGCTTCATGAAATATGGGCATCGGGCCCCCAGGAGTGGGGCTCCTGATAATCGGGCATCCTCCCCAGTGGGAGCACTGTGCCCTCCATGAGGGGCATGTCCAGCTGGAACTGGCCAACGAAACCACTCAGCTCTGGGCCCGTTGAGGAGATGGCGGCGCCTCACGACCCAGCTTGTTTTCTCTGCCACCCTCTTTCTGATGCTCACCTTTGCACCCTGATCTTTCTACTGCCTAAGCATATATCATTTTTATGGGGGGAATCTGACTCAATTGATGGGCTTTTCTGGGGCTCTCCCACATCTTTTGTGTGGACCTCAAACACAGACCACCCTGATCCTTCAGGAAGATGGTGCTGCTCACTGGCAAGTGGATTTCTCCTTGATCAAGGGAAAAGGACTGTTTTGTCATATGTCCTAAAGACGTTCTTTGCCTAAAAAGGCTTGTGTGTAGATAGTTGCATTGTGTTTGAGAACCTGAAGAATGGGTGTTTGGAACTTAGGAAGTTGGGGCTTTTCTGGAATGCCTTCCTTTGCTCCCACCGCTCCCTCCCTGGTGCTGCCTGTGCACAAAGGGCAGGTGTTGCCTTCTGACAGAAGAAGGGGCTGATGAGTTGTCAGCTGCAGCCCGACGATCCAGGTCCAGAAGGAATACTATGCCCAGCCAGTGGCTCTCTGGACTCCATCGCGGAAGCTGCAGTGATTGTGGCTGCCTTCGGGTTTTATCGCAGGTGGACTGAGTCATTAGAGCCTAGGGTGTGTGACAGTCATGCTGAAAGCTGGCTGGCGCAGGAGAGAACTCTGCTGTCCGATGTGCGTGCATGAGCTGCCCTGCTCTGTGTGCACTCGGGCCACATCCCCATCACCCTTCACGCTCGTGGTAGAAACTCGAGCGAGCCTGGGCCCACCTTGCAGACTCAGTTGCTGAGCTTGGTGTGTACCTAGTGTGTGCATGGCCCAGCACTAAGAATGTAAATTCCAATCTGAGTGGATTTTACAGATGAAAATGCTCAGAGAGGTCAGGTCACTAGCCCAGGTTTGCACAGCTTCAGAGATGGAGCTGTCATTCCACACACTGCCTCAGTGAAGTGCAGAAGCAGTCCCTGGCCATCTGTTGTGCTTAGGGCCCGTGCTAGGTGCCTGGGTGTGAGGGAAACAGCAAGAGCCTCTGTGGCCTGCTGGAGGGGGCAGCCATTCCACATGCTGATTTCTCAAACACTGGGGGCCTGCTTCCCTCTGCACCTCAAGCATTGCTGCCTCCTTTCCCTCCAGAATCAGGTCCCTCTGTCCCCGACCTGCGCAGAGCTGGCCTGGCCGCAGTTTGGCTCCCAGCTGAGGAATCTGGAGGCAGGAGCCGCTGGCTGGCTGTGCTGTGCCTCAAGGGCCTGGTGTCCAGCCAGCGAGGGCCTTGTTTCTCCTTGGGGTGTCTCTGTGGCAGTCAATTCTAGCTCTTTTATACCTTTACTGATTTTGAACATGTGGTTTAAATGAATTTAAACATCTCTCTCAAACCTTGTATTACCCCATTTTTTTAGCAGTGATGCCAGGGTACAAATGCAGCCAAGTTGCCAGTAGCTTTATAGGATGACAGTGCTCAGCAGGGCCTTAGCTGTGCTGACCCACAGGTCCCTTCCCGGGTGACAAAACTTGAGGCCTGTGGGCAGGAAGGGGCTTGTCATGAGCTACCGAGCTAACACACGTGGCAGAGGACTCAGGTTTCTGTCTTGGTGAGGACGGGCTGCTTCTGAATCAAAACCCAGTTAACCTTAGGTCAGACCTGGGGAAAAAGAGGGCTGCCTGTGACCATCCAGGCTGTCTTGAGTCGCCAGGCTTTCTGAGCAAAGGCTGCCAATACCAGCAGGCCCTTCCCTGTCCCCAGACTCCGGGATTGCTTACAATGCTCCATACCCAGTGTGCTGGGCAGAGACTGCTCCCCCGGGATCCTCAACCTCTGCCCGGGGAGCAGCTGGCCCAGGGGAACTGAATTCCCCAACACTCGCTCCAGCTCTAGCTCCTGTGCAGATTGCTGGGATGCCCGCTACCTCAGGTGTTGGCCCGTCACCCACAGCACTGGCCGACCAGGTCTGGCCTCAAAATGATTCTGGAGTCTCCTGTGTTCAGTTGTCTCTGGAAGCTCCCGTTAAGTGATGGGCCTGTATGTGAGTTCTGATTAACGTTCTCAAAAATGAACCCACAGTGTATGGGGGCCAGTTGGGCTGGCCTGTGGGGCACAGAGCTTCCCTGGGGCAGCCGAGTATGGGGCAGGCCACACACCTCAGGGCTGCCCTGCCTGCTGGGCCTATTGGGTCCACCTCTTCCCAGAAGGTGGGCGTGGTCTGCGAGCTAGGCCTGTGCCTTCCCCTTCCCTTCATTTTATACAAATTCTTACCGTTTTCCAAATTCCTTAGACAAATGCTGGTATTTGGGGACATTCTGTTTTCTCTGTGCTTTGGGACAAGGTCTGGGAGCTAGTTAGAAACTTGGTGCCTAGTCAGAGGAACAGAACTCTGGGAACTTAGAATGTAAGCAAATCTCTGAACATACCTTCCAGGGTGTTGTTATCCACGAAATTTTCTGATGTTGTGAAGGAAGGCAGTTGACTTAAAAAGTCATCTTGTCCATCTGTCTTTCAGCGAGGAGACTGTTCTCCGTGAGGTGCTCTGCTCTTTGCTGCCTTTGCTCCTGATTTGCTTCAGGAGTCTTTCTCCTGTTGCATTTATTTTGTAGCGCCACCCACTGTTTCTGTGTCTTCCCCACTGAAGGCCGCAGCTCCGCCCGGGCTGGTCTCCGGTGTCTGTGTGCTCCAGGAAAGCCTCCCTGCCCCACCCTGCCTGCCGCCTTGCCTGGGAGGGAGAGTCCTGTGGGTAGGGCTCCTGGGGACCAGGACTCCCTCTGTGTCCTCAGGGGGAGCTGGTGACAGCCTCCAAGGCCATCATCGAGAAGGAGTACCAGCCCCACGTCATCGTGAGCACCGCGGGCCCCAACCCCTTCACCACGCTCACCGACCAGGAGCTGGAGGAGTACCGCAGGGAGGTGGAGCGGAAGCAGAGGGCTCCGGAAGGTGAGGCGCTCCAGTCCTGGGCTGCCGGGCAGGTTCGGCACGGGTGGTCGCAGAGGCCCAGGAAGTGCTGTGTGAGCTCCTCTGGGCCCCCGGGTGCTGACTGTTGGTGATGATGAGAACAGTCCTGCCCGGGAGACAAAACCTTGTGTTTGGTTAAGTCTAGAATGCTCTTCAGTGCACATCTCTATCTGCTCATTTGGGCCAGTTCTGTTGCAGGAACCGCGGGAAATGCGAACAAGAGTCGGGACCCCAGGATGTTTGGGGAGAAGCAGTTTATTAGCGCCGCCCTGGCTGCGCGGATTCCTATCCAAAGGCTGAGCCCCGAGCCAGCAGGGCCGTGCCTGCTACATAGTCACTCCAAGGACGGGGGGCAGTCAGCACTCGGGACCCACGGCAGTGGGAGCTATTTGTGTACTACAGGTTCAGCCCGAATGCTGGTTGTGTTTTAACCTATCTCTACAAAGGGTACCCTGTTGTAAACTAATGGGCCTACATGACTGTGATCAGCATGCTGTTCTGTCCCTCGGGGTCCCGGTGGGGGTACACTGTTACATTGCTTTGAACTTGAGCACCCTGGTGTTCCTCTGCCTTCTTAAAGCCTTAAAGAAACATTGTCCCTTTTCGTTTTGGCTTGGCTTCCTACCACAGTTCCATGGGGACTGGAAAGCTGGGCACACTTCCGAATAGTCCACTTAGAAGAGACCCACAGGGACAGCTGTAAGGGCTACATGGGACCACACCAGACGGCTGGGGTGCTGTCCCTGGACCTGGTGGCATGGGACCCTAAGTCCTGAATGGCTCCGCCAGAACGAGGCTGGGCCTGAAAGTGCCCCAGCTGTCTCGGAGGAGGTGGTGGAGCTGTGGATGAGAGAGGAGGGAGTGAGCAGGGCCCGGGTGCCCCACAGCACTCCGCAGTCCAGAGTCTTCGGGCCGTGCGGGGCAGTCTGCATTCCTCCCACTAGATGCCCTGAATAGGGCATTCACAGGACCTCTGATCCTGAGTGGTCCGCAGGAAAGCAGGATGAGGATTGTTTTTAAGAGACATTCTGCACTTTGACACATGCAGCACCTCTCCCTGTTAAAGTCTCTCTGAGAAGAGGCCTCCGCGATCTGTGCAGCCTCCTCAGCACTCACTGGCCTTGTGTGAGCAGTTGTATTGTGCCAGGCGCTGTGCTGGGTGCCGCACACACGCATGTCAGCCAGTTCTCAGAGTGACCCTGAGACAGGCCTGTTCCCACAAGTCAGAGCAGAGGAGTCAGGGCCACAAACAAGGTGGCAGGGCCTGGAGCTGGCCCAGAATCTGTCACCTGTGTCACTGTGCCGTCCTCCCACTGGCAGCCTGCAGGCTTCACTGTCCCCAGCTTGGGGGTTCCCGACTTCCCATCTTTCTCCACAGACCCTGAGTCTTCCTGGGCAGGGGCCGTCGCGGGCCGCCATGTTGCCTGCTCTGGCACATTCGCAGACAGTGTGGCTGTGTACTGGTGCACCCTCTGTTTCGCTTGGGCACTCCCTCACACGGGAGGTTGTACTTCTGTGAAATGTGGTGGGACTACTTTACAACAAATGACAAATGGCTCTAAGAGCCTGAACCTCATGGAGCAATTTGTTTCAAACTTTAGGTTTTGAAAAGTAGATCCACACAGTTTGAGAACTAATGAGAGAAGCAAGGCTCTCTGCCTCTATGCTGAAGGTCAAGGTGGATCTGAGTCCCTTTCCCTGGGTGCCCTTGCTTGGTACCAGGGAGATCCCGGGGCACAGAGCCCTCCACCCCTCAGAAGGTTGGCGCTGCTGAGGTCCAACCCTAGTCCTTTACTGGGGCCGCAGGTCCTGAGTGTGGGCCCAGTTCTCCCTCAGTTTGCCCCCTGGGCACCAGCCTTCTGGCATGGAAGGCCCACAGCATGGGGGGCAGACAGTCACCCTCCTGGGTCAATGGGGATTAGCCCAGGTGCTGCTCCTAGGACAGCCTCTTCTGTGCCCTAATTTAATGTTTTTGTCTCACTTTAATGTACTGGTAGCTGCTCCTTAAGTTTGAGTTGTACAGAAAAACCACTGAATTGTTCTTCAGTGTGTGTAACACCATCACTGCCTGTCGCTTTCTGTTAGATGTGCATTAAAATTAAGACTCAACTGCGTGTTGACTGAGAGTGACCCTGACGTTGCAGCCGCACCGAGCTGATTCCCATTCTCTGCCCGGAACAGCGTATGCGGCCTGCAGAGCTCTGAGCTGTTGCCGTAATTACCTGCCTCCGAGTGAGAACTGCAGGTGGAGAGTGGGCCTAAGCTGTAGGTCCTGTGGCCTGATGCCAGTCCCTTAGCACGATGTGTGTTCTTTGGGCCCTTTCAGTGTCTGAGAAACCTGACTTTTTTTTTTGAGTCAAACCACAAGATGCACGAGAGTTTCCCCTACATGTGAGGCTCCACTAGGAGGGTGTTACAGCAAGTGCATGGATGGGACAGCTGGGACCATGCTCTGATCACAGAGCTGTCAGTGGGAGTGCCAGCCAGGTGCCCTGCCTGGCCACCCCCGCCTGGCTGTGGTGCTGGCTCTTGGCGTCTGGGGCGGGGCTGTGTGGCCGTCTCCTGCGCCACAGGTGAAACTCGGGCTGTCCATCAGAGACCTCAGGTGGGAGGGGCAAAGCCTTGGGCCTCTGGCACTTTTTCCTGGTTGAAGGAATTTGTTTATTCAGGTGGGAGATGTAAAGGCCTCCTGGTCATAACACAGGGCTGCAGGAAGGTGGCTGCCGCCTGGTGAGGGTGCTTGGGAAGGTAGGTTGGTATCTCCCTAAGTAAGATCAGAGGCCCTGCTGATTGTAGTAGCTGCTTGTTCAAAATACGGGGCCCAGTGACCGACCCTAAGCTACTAATACAAACCGTTGAATTGAGAGATGGAGATTTCGGGAATTAGGATAGCATTGGTATGCATTTTTCCCTAGATATGTAGTAGACTTGGAGTTTTCTGGGCCCTGGGCCCTAGTTTCTACCATTTTCCCCCTAGTTCTTACCAGAATATTTTACATAGAAAATAAAAATGTGCATTACAGTTGCCAAGTTTAAATTATTGGTAGAAGATGCTCTACATAAAAAATCAGAACCAAAGTAATGTTTTCCCGTGACATCCCTTGAGGTGGTGACTAGGGTGAGGTGCTCCGGGCTCTGGGCTGCCAGCTTGGCAATGGGAGAGGTGGATGGTGCGGACCCTCGCTGGTGGGCAGGAGGGGGCAGGCTGGGGGCCACCAGTCCGCTGGGAGTCACAGAGATGGTTCTGGCAGGTTCTCTTTGGAGTAAGAATGGAGATTAATTTTGTATGCAGAGTTGGTTAAATCTGTTCCAAGTTCTGATCCACAGCCCAGTCATCATCTCCCTCCTCTGTCCCTTTTGGAGAGGAATGAGGAAAAGGATGCCAACAGTGTGGCTGTGAGCCCGCCTGGTCCCATGGATGCCCCCTGAGAAACCCCGCTGTCCTCCAGAGGGCCGGGTGGCGAAGGCTCGGGGCCTACAGCCCTTGAGCACATTCTCCCTTCCTGTTTATCTGCAGAGAATCTGGACGAGACTGGAGATCAGAAAGAAAGGAGTCCTCCCGAGCACCCAGATGCCCCCCACACTCCCCCAAGCACCCCTGTCAAGCTTGTGGAAGGTGAGCCCCGCGCTGGAGGGCACGTGGCCAGAGGTGGACCGGGAGGGGCTCACTGGTGTTTTAGTCCAGGGGAGGACAAGCCAACCGTGTGGCAGTGGTTGAATGACACTATTGAAGAGTGTGCGTGCCTGGAGCCCATACATCCTATGGTTCTGAGCTCACCCGTCCTCCGCTCCTGTTTTAATTCTGTCCTGGGTAACTCGAGGCAAAACAGATTAGATAGAAGTCAGGGAAGGACAGAATTTGGGGATTGGAGCCCACCATGATTTATGGAGTCGGTTTTGCCCACTACTTGCACACCTCTTGAACCTTACTGTGCTTGCATCGCCTCCGGGCAGTGTCCCCTACTGTGTCTGGGCTACCCTGCTCCATTTGACTCGCCTGTCAGTCAGTGTGGAAAGAACTGGCCTCTGTTGGCTGCACTCACCGCATGTCTGTGGCGTGTGGCCCGAGTGTGTGTCCCTCCATCTTGTACATTGTGCTTCCCATGCCTGTCGGGAGCCTGTGGCCCCCCAATCCTGTGTGTCCGCGAGGGTGGCTCGGCCACTCTCCTGTGCCCAGTGGCTGGGACTGAATGCATAGACTCTCTCCTGTGCTTTTCTCTTCCTGTGGCTGCGCTCCAAGCAGGAGGCGGATGTGCTAAGGAATACCTGTTACCATAGTAAGTACCCTGCTGCCCGGCTCCTCCTGCTTGACCTGAGGTCCCTGTGCTTGGCTGCCTTCTCCTGCTGCTTTGTTGCTTTTATGTTTTGGTTTTGTTTATTCAGAATAAACACAGATGTCCCCTTTTTTTGTACCCAGTACCTCCTGGCAGGGGCTGGGTCATCTGAGCGGTGGGTGGGCTGCCTGCCCTGGAGGCTCCCATGGACGCCGGGGTGCTGCTCAGAGCCCTCTGGGTCTCAGGTCCAGGGGGGCATGGGATCCTGTTCAGTCTGAGACTCATCATTGCTTGGGGGGAGGGTTTTGCTGTATCAGATAAGACATAATCTAGACTAGGTTCAGACAGGGTGGGATTTCGCCACCCACTGCAGGGGACTGCAGTTTGGACCCTTGCCTAAGCCGGGTGCTTTAGTATAATTTGAGGGGCAGAAGAGCACCATTTGGCACTGTTCTAATGTGACATTTGGTCCCATGATAATAGTTCTGTGCACCCACAGGCAACTCAGCACGCTTTGCAGAGTGAATCCTAATTTCTTCCTGCCCCAACTAAGAGCACCCGATTATCCCGGGGCAGAAAGGGGCTGATGGGGTGGGGGTGGGGCAGCTTCAGCCTCCCAGAACTGCAGCACTAGGTGGGGTGGGAGCCTCCTGGGGCCGCTCCTCACCCCATGCTCAGCCCATCTGCGTCGCCTCCTGATGCTGGCCTTGATTTGTAAGTACCAGTTTGCAAACCACTAGTCTCTTATAGCTTTGTAGGCTGTTTTTAAATCCACAAAACTGGGTCCTCCCGGCAGTATAGAAAGCTGATGGGAGCCGGGAGCCTCCACAGGGAACCAGCCAGTGTCTCTTTGAGACAAGTCACACTGCTCGTTTACGTTTTGATGTTTAAATGGTTAGGATGGCTTGATTTTTTGCCCCTGCCCTGTACCTTATGGCTTTTCTTTTCTTTTAATTAACATACATCATTTAAAATGGCTTTGTTTGCTGTTGGTATTGCCAAAGGGGCCCCAGGGGTTGGGGCTCCCACTGGACCGGTTTTCCACCGCTGCGCTCGCTTTCCGGTGTTCTCTGCAGGGTGGACTGGGCGCCGCGGACGGCCTTAGACTTACTGTCCTGCGGCCCAGCCGTCGCCCGGGGGGGCTCCAGAGCAGGCCTCCTTCTGGGGACTGGCGCAGTGTAGTGTGTGGCCAGCGCCCTCAGCTGGCCCAGGTCACTCTGATGGCTGTGAGGCCAGCCTGTGGTGGCGTCTGGCTGGCAGTGCCGTCCACAAGGGGCTAAAAATGCCCACCAGGGAGCCTGTGCTTTGTGTGTGAGCTTCAGTCAGCCATGAAGTACAGTCCACCCTACCTAAAGGCTCTTATCCTTGTCTCGGTAAGGGTTCCTAAGGTCAAGTACAGTGGCGGTTTCTGGGCCAGGTGCCGCCTGTGTTCGAGGTCCCCTGTGGTCTGGGCAGTTGCCCTTTAACCCCATCTCCCTCCCGACCCCACCAGACCTGCTGCGGGAGGCGACTTCCAGGGGCGACACTGATGCCGCCACCTTCAAGCCGACTCTTCCCGACCTGTCCCCTGAAGAGCCTTCAGAAGCGCTTGGCTTCCCGACACTGGAGGAGGACGAGGGGGAGGAGGAGGGGCTTGGCGGGGCCCATGGCCCTCCAGGCCCTGCCAGGCCCCCCACAGTGGCCAGCCCAGGGCCAGCCCCAGCCCAGGTGGCCGAAGAGGCTGTCTCCCCAGCTGCCGAGGAGGGGGCTGCTGGGGACCCTGGCAGCGATGGGTCTCCAGGCAAGTCCCCATCCAAAAAGAAGAAGAAATTCCGTACCCCCTCCTTCCTGAAGAAGAGCAAGAAGAGGAGCGACGCCTGAGGGCCCGTCCTGCACAAGCCGACGCCACCAGACTGTCCCCGCGTGTGTCCTGTGCTCTGCCTTCCCATGTAAAGGAATGCAAATGCCCACATAGCTAGAGCTCCCCTCGTGATGTGGCCAGACCCCCGTGTAGCCCGGTGCTGACCTCGTGTGCGCGCAGTGGGCCTCCTGCCCGGCCGCACCCCTGGGCCTCACCCTCAGGTTCTGGGGGAGCCTTGGTCTCCGTGTCCTCCTCTGCGGTGCTTGTCGGCGGCAGCAGCGCAGCCCATTGCCTGCTCCGCAGGGACGTGCTCCCCCCGGGGTGCTACGCCATGGTTCCGGCTGGACAGTCGGAGGCCCTGCCGGCTCTGGCCCCCCCCTCTCCTGTTGTGAGGTAACCCCTTCCTCTGCTGTGCTCCCCTTCATCCTCACGCCTCAGGTGACTGAATCAGGCTCACAGCTTCCTACTGGCATTATCTGCTCAGTGATGTCATTTTGTTTGTACCCACAAAGCCTCAGTCCTGTGAAAACACTCATGTGCCCAACAGCCAGGGCACTGTGGCGCCTAAGAGGAGGGCGTGGGCTAAGCTGGAAACCCCAGCAGCAAGTGGGCCTGTGTGCACCCAACACAGCCCGTGTGTGGTCTGATTACCCTGCGGCCAAGACGGGTTCAGGGGCTCACAGCTTTACTCTTTGGAGTCTCTAGATGCCAGTCATGGGGAAGGTAAATCAGGAGAGGGAAGAGTCTTGTCTAGAATTTTCTTTGTTTTAGACTGAACATGAGCAGGCCACTCTGCGCGTGTGTGGAGCTGGCTGCCGGCTGCAGCAAAGCACCGCTCACCGGGATGGCGAGCTGGGGGGAGGGGCTGAGAGGGGATGCCCCCACCTGAACTCAGCTGGGAAGATGCCCTGCTTTTGGTAAAAGCCAGTTCCAGGTAGAGGTCGGCCCTGGTGGCCCTGTCTGCGCCGCCCCGATGCCCTTCGCCAGTCACTCGAGGAGCTGTTACCGGTTCTTGTTTGACGCTGGTGTGCACTGTCACTTAGCTCAGATCCCTGGGACGCAGCAGGAAGCTGTGTAATGGGAACTAGCAGGTGGCTCAGGGGCTCCTCAAGGGTGACCCAGTCCAGGAGCTGCCCGGTGCCAGCCTGATTAGCCCCCTAGGGTGGCGGGGTGCTTGATGGACCTGGTACCATACGGACTGAGGTCCCAGACTAAACCGAGCAGGACCTGAGGCTGGCTGCATGGCCCTGCCCCCTGCTTTTCTCCTGCGTGTCGTTTTGTTGCTGAGGTGGTGAGGAAATTTCACCATCACCCTGTACTTCAGTTAACCGTGGGCTCTTCCTGTCAGCCTTCCTTTTACCCCACACAGGCAGTGACTTTAATTTCACTTTTGTAGTTCATTTTAACTCTTTGTATTACAACATAAGTGTAGTCACATATATGGACACAGGCTTGGGAGGACAGGTCCTGTGTCTTTTCTTCACTGTAACACATTTTACTCACGAATAAAATTCTTTAAGCAGTTCCTTGTCTTAAGCTTGGAAGGCAGTTTTTACCTTTTAATATTTTCTTTATTTTAAAATAGGACTTTGAGAAGCTTGTCTCACATCCCCCCCAAAAAAGATCCCAAAGTGTTTTTCTTGGTCAAAAGACGGTTTGTTGTTTTGGCCTGGGGAGACCTGCAACCTAGAACTAACAACAGCCTGTTCTGGTGCCCACTTGCTTCTCTTCTCCACTGGGCACTGCAGAGTGGCAGAGAGCTGTCCTGACACCCTGCTGTCCGCTACAAGCAGTGCAGAGGTGGGGGAGACCTGTGACTGAAACATACCCACAGAGGCATCCCCCTGCCCAGTCTGCCAGGGTGCAGGCACCAAGGCACTGCCCAGCACATGAGGAGCCCAGTTTGGAATTCTGCCCCTTGATTTTGTATCATCTCTGTGCAAAAGGGAACGGGCTTGGGTGCAGCCTTATAACTCTGGTCGGTGGAGGTGAAGAGACTGCCACTCGAGCGACTGCTCTGGCGCCAGGGGTGTCCCAGGGCGCTGGGTGTTGAGGCAAAGCCGAGTACTGGAGAAGGGCACTTGGTATAAAAGAGCTGCTTTATTTTGTCACTCAGAGGCCTGGCTGAGACCCATGACATGGAGTGGAACACACGAGCAGAAAGCCTGGGAGGTTTTGGAGTCACTGGGCCTGCTCCCAGCAGGGCTGCTGCCCACCTGGGGAGCTGGAGGAGCATCTCGCGCCCCCAGGCAGGCAGTGGGGAGCAGTCCTGGCTAGGGCCCCCCACTACCTGCCTCAGCACCCCCAGCCTGGGGTGGGGTGGGGCAGGGCCAGGCAGCTACTCGGCCTTGGGAGTCTGTGCTGGAGGCCTCAGATTCCTCAGGAGCAGGAAGGGGAGCAGGAACAGCCCCGAGCACACAGTGAAGCAGACCCGGGCCCCTGCCAGCCAGTACACTGCAGAGAGACAGGCCAGAGTGACTGGGGCCCGCTGGGCAACCCCCCTGCTCGCCTGTCCCTCGGCCCGGGGAACGCAGGACTGAGCTGTATTAAGTGGCTGGAACAGGAGGGGTGGAAACAGACAGCTGAGGGAAGCCAGGAGGGGCTTGTGTGGTCTCTACTCGGGGCCGGGAGCCCCCCCACCCAGGCCTGGCCTCCCAGGGCACACAAGGAGCCCCAAGCGCTGCCCCAAAGGCCTCACCTGAGGCAGCCACCATGGGCCCCACGGCCCTGGCCAGGGCACCCAGGCTCCGCAGTGTGCCCATGACTGTGCCTTTCTGCCCGGGAGAGCCTGTGGGAGGGAGGCAGAGGCCGTCAGCGGCCCCCCAGCTTCCTCCCCACTGGAGTAGCCTCTGGCAAAGGAAGGGCTTACCATAGCCAGCGACCACGGAGGACAGGCAGGGCACTACGACAGCAGCAGCTGGCGGGGGACATCGGGGGCTCCGTCAAACCACCGGAGAGGCTGGCACAGGTGGCATCCAAGAGGAGTCCCTGCCGCCCTCCCCACCGCGCCCTCTGCACGGGGACCACTCACCAAAGGAGTAGAACAGCAGCCCGAAGCCCAGCACAGGCAGTGTGCGGCCCCAGCCAACGAGGAGGAAGGCGGGGACCAGCAGCAGGATGGCCTGCAGGTGGGCACAGCTGGCCTCAGGACCCGCCCCCTGCTGCTGCCAGCACAGCTCGGGATGCCTTGCCACCTGCCCCCACTTTACAGACACTCCCGTACCCGCTTCACAGCTGCAATTTCCCGGCCTGGGCCGATGCGCCGGGTGTAGATGCCCTGAATGGTGGCCATGGTGAGACCGATGAAGAAAAACATCTTCCCCTGCTGCAGGCTGGTAGAGGGGGCCGTCAGCACCCCAGCCCTGTGGGCTGGCTCGCCGCCTAGCTCCCACAGCCGGGGCCGGAGCCCATGGTGGGGTGGCGACAGGCCATTCATCACCATCCTCCGGGCAGGCCGCCCTCTGTCCCAGGTTGCTCAGCTGGGCCCCAGGGGACGGGTCTGGGTGGGAATCAGCCCTGAAGTAGGGGGCTCAGGACAGGCTGCCGGCAGGCACCCCCAGGCACACTCCCACCTGCTGAACTGGAAGCGCTGGTGCGTGAGGAAGCTCAGCGTGTACTCCAGGCCCGAGAACAGGAACAGGTAGACGAAGTAGGCCAGGCCCAGGCGGCGCAGGCCGCAGAGACCTGGGGCAGAGGGGAGGGGCTTTAGGGCCTGCGGCCTGGACAGCAGCAGGGGGGCAACAGCCCCGCCCGGGGAGCTGGCGGCAGCCTCTTACTGTCTCCAGCGGGCGGGTCCCGACCGTGGGCCGTGGCAGAAAACTGGAACAGGGCCAGGGGGCTGAGCAGGTCGGTGGCCGCTCCGAAGCCCAGGGCCATGGAGGGTGCCTGAGGCAGAGGACGCGGAACTGGCGAGGCCTGCCTGGGGGCCTGGAGACATGGCCTGGCGGCTTGGGACAGGCATGGCCCTGACCTGCTTGGCCCCCATCAGGCTTGGGGAGCGCAGGGACCCCTGGAGCTCCAAGAGGGGCTCTGGACATCAGGAGAGGTCAGCCCAGCCTCCCTGAGCGTCCCTACAGACCCACAGACGCAAGATCCAGGCTATCAGCCATTTCTTCCTGGGTCCCCCTTACCCGCTTCTCCAGAGGCAGCGTCTCGGGCAGGAAGCAGAGAATGAACAGCAGATCTGAGATGGCAAAGATCAGGGCGAGCCAGGGCACCATGTCCATGGGTAGGGAGGCACCAAGCATGGGGCCCAGTGTGAAGCCCAGCGAGAAGGCCACTCCGATGACTGCCTGGGGAGAAGGCCGCCTGAGCCAGGCAGGGAGGCCCGGGCCCAGGAGCCCTGCCCACCAGCCTGCAGGGAGCGCTCACCATGCCTCTGCTGCGGGCGGGCGGTGAGCCCAGGTCAGCGACGATGGCCGTGGAGAGGCTGACGTTCCCCTTGCTGATGCCCCCAATCACCCTGGAGGCCAGGAAGGCTGCGAAGCTCCTGGAGGTGGCCCACACGGCATATGAGGTGGCCAGACCTACCTGCCTCAGGACAGGGGCCAGCCATGGTCACTTGAGCCAGGAGGAGTCCAGAGTGGGGCTGGCCTCATCCCCTGCGACCCTGCCCTGTTCTGGAGCATCCCGGGGCCACCTGTAAAGTCCCCGTGGATAGCAGAAACACTGGCACAGGTGGCTTAGCCACAGGAGCCACTGCCCTGCAAGCACCACCCCCAGGAGGCAGTGGGAGCCCAGGGGCCTCGAGGGGCTCTCAGCCATCACCTCCCTGCCTAGAGGGCTGCCGGGAGGGTGGAAGAAGGATGCAGGCTCCCACCCTGGGGTACCCGTACCAGGGACAGTAGCATGACTGGGCGCCTCCCGAGGCAGTCAGAGGCGGCACCTGTGAGTGGCGCGGAGAGGAACTGCAGGAAGGAGAAGACTGAGCCAATCAGACCTGAAAAACGGAAGCTGCTGTCACCGCACTCCAGTCTCCGTCCCCAAGGGTCTGAGCATGCTGTGCTCTGCACTCCCAGGCCGGGTCCTCCAAGAAAGGTGACCCCTCTGGAGAGTGGTCACTCCAATCAGAGAGAGAGAGAGCAGAAAGGAGTGGACAAGGACTGGGACTGACGGGAGCCCAGGCAGGAAGAGGAGGGTGTCCTGCAAGACGACCCCAGTGGGTCCCAGAGTGGGGCTCGGCCATACCTCCAAACAAGACGCTGTTGTACCTCTTCTCTGCTGGCATCCTGATAGCTGCGGCAAACCAGTCCACCCCGCGCTGCCAGACACCGTAAAGAGGGTCCTGGGGGACAAGGACGCATGAGAAGGGCTTGGGGGAGTCCCTGTTCGGGCCTGCGTGGCCATCGCGAGAGCCAGGAGTAACTGGACAGAGGGGAGGGCTCACGTGGGCACGGCCGTGGCTCTCCAGCAGCCCGGGCAGCAGAGGCAGGAGCAGGGTGAAGGCCAGGAGGTCCAGCAGGAGGCCGAGGAAGACCACCGTGAGTACGCGGGGCTCGGGCGCCGGCCGCGGGCGGATGGGTGGGCGCGGGGTGCAGCTCCCGCCGGCTCCCCAGCCCATGACGGGGGCTGCTCCGATCGGGCCTGCCTGAGGGCGGGGCGCATCTGCTGAGGCACCGCTGGGTACCCGAGTCCCAGGCGCCTCCCTGCCACGGGGAAAACAGTCCCCAGCTCCCGCGATGCCCCCGACCTGCTGGCAGCCGGTAGCATCCTATGGGAGGTGCCTCCCGCTCTGCTGAGGGGCTTCCGCTACCCGACCCCGGGGGTCCTCTGTGCGCCCGCCTCCAACCCGGCGGCGGGAGGCTCAGGCCGCGGGGGGCCGCTCATAGAAGCCGCAGGCACAGCGAGCCGGGCATCGCCCCACCCGCGCAGCCACCCCCACGTTCTCCAGCAGGGAAACGGCGGCCCCGGGACCGTCACTGCGCCCGAGAACACAAACCCGCCCACGCCGCGCCGGGAATCCGCTCCCGCCTCGGGCTCGCCCTGCACGCGGGAGCCGTTCCGCCCCGCA